GTTATGTACTGTAGATCCGATCAACTATCAAAGGTCTTTGTACTAAAAGCAGAAAAAAGGGGTGTAATTAATTATGTCAATTTTTTATTTGAAGTTCAGATCTGCTCTAATTGTGATCTTAAAAGTAAAACTCACTCTTCTAATCTCAAAAGGCGAAGGAGGTAAACGAGAGGAGAGGTCAAATCAGAATAATATAGCAAGTTGATTCCCACATGGTAAAGACAACTTTCGAAGGTTGTGGGGGTAGAATAAGATTCTTCCGGCACTAAAGAGACCGTACTAATCTAATCTATAACAGAAAACATAACATATTTTAATAAATTTATCGACAATTTCAAATAAACTTATTCAACAGTCATTAATATCTCTNAGAGCATATTTTAATAAATTTATCGACGATTTCAAATAGACTTAAATAGACTTATTCAATAGTCATTAATATCTCTCTTAAAATTATTTATATTATATAGACTTAAATAGGCTTATTCAATAGTCATTAATATCTCTCTTAAAATTATTTATATTATATTGTACCTTTAGGTACGAATTATCCCTAATTTATGTATAAACCCGAGTCATGCTATTTAAATTTAAAAATTTTACCTAATTTGTTGGCTTGATAATGTAATTTTAATAGAATCATTAAGTCAACATTAAGTTTCAATACTTAATAGAGCCCAAAATCAATCTAAGAGTCATAGTAAATTAGGTCTGAACAACATTACTCAAATAAACCCACCGTGCAATAGTACTTAGACTTAATTTATTGATTTAATTTGTTGATCTAATCATTCATAACTATTGAATTGACAGTAAATCCAGTACTTCTTGGAACCCGCAATTAATCTAATGAAACCGAAAACATAACATAGTGACTATTTTTAACAAATTAGATCAACAAATTAGATATAACTGGCATTATTGAAACCAAAAACATAACATAGTGGCTATTTTCGAGGTTCCAAAAATCCCATAGTTTAATATACATTCCACTTTAGGTTATTATTAAAAGATGATCCCATTTAGAATTCATTCGTTCTTTGCGTATGGCCGGCTGATTAGTTTGGGGCTTTAGGTTGAATAAAGTATTATGAGAATGTAATGTGATAATGGTGATCAAATGGCTGCATCTGATTGGATAGAGATTAGTCTTTTTTTTTTCTTTTTCTTTTTTTGTTGACTAAAATTGATAGCTTTTTTATGTATCATAATACTCTTATGGACAAACATATACTTCCAACCTTGTTTTTTAAACAAAGAAACGATACACTATCATAAATTAGGGCTCAACCCACGTCATAAAATAATCAATTCAAGTTGAATCCGAACTCGAACTCGGCTTTAAACAAAAATTTTAAACCCAAGTATTATCTATGCTGAAGTCTAGAAATCATATTAAATAATTCGAATTGAAATTCAAGTTAAAATTTTGAATTGACATTCAAATTTAAATTGGGTTTCATCATACAATAATACAAACGCAGAATAAAATTTGAGTTCAATAGAAGTTAAATTCAAGTTTGTCCTTAAAATCCAAGACCACAACCTTAGTGTTGGAGAGAGAGAGAGTGTGTGTGTGTGTTTCAACAAATTGTAGTTTATCTATTTGATTAATTTCATCTCGATGGTCGAAAACACACTATGTAAGTGGGGAATGACCAAACAATCTTATGACAAATTTTCCTCTTGGTTTTAGGTATGATTCAAGAAGACAACAACAAACAAACAATCTTCCGATCTTACAATAATTATATCAAAATTAATTTTCCGGCAATTTAATACTAATCAACACCAATTACATATAATATACATATTAGATGTATATGTATATTATGTAGTTAACCATGATTTATGTGTCTCTCTTTTGCAGGGCACTGGTCCATGCCGCCGCAGAAAAAATATAAAATACCCAAAACAGAGGGGCACTTGTTGTATTAACAATAAAAGAGGGGGGCCACTTGCAATATTAATTAGTTAATGGTGGTATTAAAAAAAGAAGTGAATGATTATTATAAAGCTCCATTCTTGCTTTTGCAGTTGTTCGATTAGAAAGGAAGGTTCTTTAAATGAATGACCTATTAATGTTTTTTTTTTTTTTCTCTCCATTATAAAAAAGGTTGCAAGTGAGTGATCGGCATGGGAATTATGTCTAATCGTGACCATAATAACCCAAACCTACTAGATAGTCCTCCAGAGGGAGGGGTCTAGACGGTGGACTCTCCAAGCGCTCCGTAAGGACAATTGTAGTCATTGCTTAACTTTAACCCCATCAAGCCACTGGAAACAAATCCGCATTTCTACTCTCCGCGACTTAAATTTGGATGATCATTACCAAAATCTTTACTCAGCGCGCGGAAATGAGAGAAGGTGCCGAATCCCACAGGATTATTAGTCCAATATCTGCTCCTAGGGTAAAACATAGAGTCCAAAACTTGTGCAGATCGACCAATTCCATGTCCACATTTCCTTAATGTAGAGAGGTAATTGGGCGCGTCAACCCAAATCTATCTCAAAAAATTCAGCAATAAACATAGATTTTGAATATTCAAGTTGGGCTTAGCGATAAATCTCAACGATATTAATATTTGAACAGTCTCGAGTTAGATATGGGGTTTATATGGCTCAACTAATTAATGAATTTTGATAAAATTTGAATTTTGTATAATTCAAAAATCATCTATCACGAGAAAATGGCATCTGCATGACAAAAGTATGTTTGTCAAACTGTCAAGTATCAAGTCCCTGAGCCAATCAAATCATAACTCTCTCTCTCTCTCGGACAGAGAGGGCCATATCTTAGCTTTGCATATGTGTAGTCCTNGTAGACAGTGACTTTGATGGGGCTTCCAATGTGTTATGCAGGTTTACCAGCTCAAAACTATTGGCATCCATCATTCATGATGATGAACAACATCCAGGGACACTAGTTCTACCATCCATCTCCCGTGACGATGAACATTGACATGAAGAACATTCATGTCTTAAGCAACATAACTATGCATTGACAATGTCTACCTACATGATCCCCAGATGATGATGAATCATACATCTACCCAGACTGACTATTAGTATAGCTTCACNGAAGACAGTGACTTTGATGGGCTTCCAATGTGTTATGCAGGTTTACCAGCTCATAACTATTGGCATCCATCATTCATGATGATGAACAACATGCAGGGACACTAGTTCTACCATCCATCTCCCGTGACGATGAACATTGACATGCAGAACATTCATGTCTTAAGCAACATAACTATGCATTGACAATGTCTACCTACATGAACCCCAGATGATGATGAATCATACATCTACCCAGACTGACTATTAGTATAGCTTCACTTCTGTACTACCTAGCAATTGACTATTAATGACAAAGTAGATGTTATGTACAGAATTTCAGGTTGTGCAAACAAGAAAGATGACTATTTTAGCAGCCACTGTTTATGTAAATTTAGAATGTTCTCTGAGTGTGGTTACAGATTCAAGTAGATTAGGTAAGACTTGATCATATATAATGTGTTTCAATACATATTATTTGCTTGTAAGCATAGGTATCGTGTCATATGAGGCCCCCCATGTAAGATTTACTATACTAAAGAACGCTAAATGTCCTGTTTTCATCTGAAAATTGTTCATAATATGACAGCTCTGAGAACCATAATCCATCTAATGTCAGTGAAAAACCTAGTCATTTCAACCTGCCCAAATTCCAAAGATGGTGGACAAAGGTAGCTACAAACATCAATCAAGTTTAGACCCAAAGAAATAAGGATCAAACACACTTTTCACCACTAAAGTATAATCCAACTCCCACGGTGATCCTTTGGTAANGACCCCCCATGTAAGATTTACTATACTAAAGAACGCTAAATGTCCTGTTTTCATCTGAAAATTGTTCATAATATGACAGCTTTGAGAACCATAATTCATCTAATGTCAGTGAAAAACCTAGTCATTTCAACCTGCCCAAAGTCCAAAGATGGTGGACAAAGGTAGCTACAAACATCAATCAAGTTTAGACCCAAAGAAATAAGGATTAAACACACTTTTCACCACTAAAGTATAATCCAACTCCCACGGTGATCCTTTGGTAACCATCCTACAAAATTTTGAGCAAAGAATAACATGTTTTCAGCATATGATGCATATTCATAGGTATTGGTTGGGAAAAAGGTCATTTTCAACTTTTTACCACTAAGCTGCTTTGCTCTTACAAAACCCTCCCTTTTTTCTTCTCTCTCCCCTCCGCAACCTGATCACCGTTAACNTGGGTTGGGAAAAAGGTAATTTTCAACTTTTTACCACTAAGCTGTTTTGCTCTTACAAAACCCTCCCTTTTTTCTTCTCTCTCCCCTCCGCAACCTGATCACCGTTAACCAATACAGCCACACACAAATGTATCGCGACAACGCTGAAGAAAACTAATCCCCACCCTCCANTTGGTTGGGAAAAAGGTCATTTTCAACTTTTTACCACTAAGCTGCTTTGCTCTTACAAAACCCTCCCTTTTTTCTTCTCTCTCCCCTCCGCAACCTGATCACCGTTAACCAACACAGCCACACACAAATGTATCGCGACAACGCTGAAGAAAACTAATCCCCACCCTCCAGCACACCACCACCCTACAACAGAAAAGAAGCAAAAACTTCACATCTAGCCTCTCCTCCTCCAAATCATTCCCCATATCTCATTACTCCGTGTCACTTCACTCAGAAACCCAATTGAACACATCACCATCTAAAGCCACTGATACTCTAAGAATCAAGCTTAAAAACCAAAGGGACAAGCCAGGAATACGTTAAGGGTAAAGTTATAATTAACCCAATAAATAATAGATAGAAAAGTAACAGATATAGAGATAAATAGTTGGTCAGTCAATGAATTAGTGACGGCAATGAAAAAATTCTCCAGTAGGAAAGGATAGCATGTATAACTTTATCATTGCTTGCAGAAGATTTAAAAAATGGAACANCTGATATAGAGATAAATAGTTGATCAGTCAATGAATTAGTGACGGCAATGAAAAAATTCTCCAGTAGGAAAGGATAGCATGTATAACTTTATCATTGCTTGCAGAAGATTTAAAAAATGGAACATAATTGCAAAAGATAAAGAATATACAGCTCACCTGTTCAAATTTGAGAGAAGAAAAGGCTACCTCTTAGCGCTTTTGTGCTTTCCTTCGTCTAGATTGTGTCTTCTGCCATTTCTTTCTTGGCACCAGTTTGCTTTTTGGTTTTAATTTTAACTCAGGTGAGAACTTAAAATTTGGATCTCTCATACGAGCTTGTATATCCTTGAAAAATTGAATATTTAATTTCTTCGGCCCTCCCTGTCGAAGTTCTTCATACTCTGGTCCCGAAACAATATTTTCAAATGCCCCAATGAGAATGTCTACATCACTCATGACCTCCCACACATTAGTGTAACGCCCATCTGGCCCCTTCTTCAATTTTTTCAGAGCGTTCTCAACTGCAAGTTTTCTAGCTTGCTTACCTGGGGACAACTCTTCTGGTTCCTGCTCAGCTTTCAGAAGTTCTGAGATTGTTCGATATTTTGGTTTCTCCTCAAACTCAAACAATTTATCTAAATATTCATCACTTTTCTCATTTGGGTAGGCTTCTGTAGGAATATCATCATCATCATCTCCTTCGTCACCAGTCCACAATGTTTTCTCCTCATCACTTTCAGACCATACACTTCTCAACTCATCACTGTCATCGGCATCAATGAGATCAGAATGCTCCTTTGCCTGGTGTTTTACTTTTCTAATCTCTTCTTCAAGACTACTTTGCCCTTTTTCAGTATCACTTTCATCTTCACTACCTGTCCAGAGACAACTCTCTTCATCCATCTGTTTCCCCCAAGCTTTCCTGAATTCCTCGTCTCCGGGTTTTCCATTGCCAAATAAATCATAATGTGAACGTCCACGATGAGCATATGATCTTGATGCTACGACAAATGTAAGACATCTCCAAAGATTTTAGCTCAAAAAGATAATGCATGAAAGGAAAGGAGGAATAGATCTAGTTTTTTGCTGAAAGGCACAATATAAAAATGAAGATTTAAAAAAAAAGTCTCATTATTGTGGGCTCTTTGAGAGAAATATGCTTAAATATAATCTTACAGCTTGCGAATTCAAAGCACTTGTAAAGTCAATGATTGGAAACACAAAATCTTATTAGCGATTTCAAATCTTATGATGAAAGTATTGGGGTTTCCAAGCCTAAGAACTAAAAGAAGAAACTTGTATGTGCCATTAGATTGCAAGGTAGTTGGAGAAACAAATAAAATTCAATATATTAGTGTTTTAGCCACTCAAACCTCAAACTAAATAGGATTCTAAGTAATAAATCTTCACAAAAAAAATGGTATACCTATGAAGAGAAGTAAGTTTTAGTTGGCTGCTCAAAATGTTTAAAACCTAAGCGCTTGGCTCTCAACTAGACAAACCTAGAGTAAAGGACCATTAATCTGCCCCTTACAGTGCTTGGCGCATGTATATAAAACCTCCATGGAGCATAAATGTAATCCTCCCGTGCTTGTTGAAAAAATAGACAACATGTAGGGAAGACTAGTGGCTAACTGCCTAGGTAACATTTTGACTGAACCTGCACCTAGTGATGCACAATTGTCTAATTTTGCATACCTCCTTAGACAAGAAAATGAGTTGTGGTTCACACCCAATACTGCCAAATGAGAAGCAACCCTTCAAACCATAAGCTCCAAAGTCCAACAAACAAAATACTAGAAATTTAGCATCCCTCCTTCCTCTTTTATGCACTACGAGTAATTATAAATATTGATGTAATTTTCTGATTAGGTTCATTTTTGGTTGGACTTCTTGTCCACCCATGATGTAAACTTTCTTATTTAATGAAAGTTTTTGGTTACTATCAAAAAAAAAAAAAGAGTAATAATAAATATAAGAATCATTGGACAAATAGATAATCTATAAATCCTCAAACTTGTCCCACTAGGTGAAGAATATAAAGGAAGTAGTGCAACAGACTTCCGTCATTTTCGGGTTTGGGGAGGGTTTGATGAATGCAACCTTACCCCTAGAGGCTGTTTCCGTAATATGTGAAGAATATCAGCTCTAAAAATCCAAAATCTTAAATATTTAAATTCTTAGTCCAACAAAAACATTTATTCTTCCACACTTAAAGTGATCTCAGGCAAGAAAACTAACTTCAACATCAAAATTTCACAAAATCCTAATCTTCGAAATGGGTCTTTTTCCCATCATCGTCTTCTCTAGATGCTTTACACAAATACATAGTCGACATCATCGCCACAGCCTTCAAATAAAATTTTATCATGCATAAACAACGAAACTCGCCAGATAAAGAAAACATATCCGAAAAATGAAATTTACTGGTCTATCTATTATGTTAAGGAGCTGAGAGAAACCCAGCAAAAAAAAAAATTAAGTTCTCGATCAGTGGGTGGAAACTAACCTTGTAAAAAGGGGAAACATGAGCCATTTAGTTGGTTTTTTGGACCGAACACGAACGAATCATAGAGAATTTNGAAACATGAGCCATTTAGTTGGTTTGTTGGACCGAACACGAACGAATCATAGAGAATTTGAACTCTGAAGTGTAAAACTTGGGGTTGAAATTGGGGTTTTGTGGTTGTGAAGAGAGAGGGTAGACGAGAAAGGCGGGAATGGAGCCTCCGGGCCATTTTCACCATACGGTTCCTAGTGTTTTAACCTATGTTTGTTTTGAGTGAAAGGAAGTGGGAAAAAAAAGTGAGGGAAAGTATTTTTATTTTCTCTCCTTTTCTTCTCTCATCAATTTCTCATGTTTGGCAGAGAGACAAAATGGATCCCATTTTTTGTTTCTTTTATTTTCTCGGAAAATAGATGAGGAGAAAATAATAGATGTCTTCTATTCTCTATCCATTGTCCCTTAACCAAATGAGAAAATTTCTTTTTCCACCGCATCTTCTTGTTGAATTTCTACTCTCTTTTATGAGAAAATATTATGTGTCCACCATACTCTACATGACAGTAATATATGATGTACATTATACATAAAATATTATATGTTCTCAATTAATTAATGTCACCTGTGAAATTGTTCAAATATTTTTTGAAAAAATTAGCTCGTGAGTCTAACAAGCAAGTGTTACGAAAATTTCTCGTTGTGTTACGATAGAGTAGACATCATGTGACCAAATATATTTTCTTGTTTCCTACCTTTCCTCTACCTAAACACTTTATTATAGGCTTTCAAACTGTCCTCACATAAACTTTAGGAAATTTTAATTCACACCCTCAAAAATTAAAAATTTTAATTTTCACTTTCAAAGATAAAAATATGTATCAATACGCACATAAAACTAACAACCGTCAATTTGTTGTCTAAAACTAAAAGGATAAATTATATCTAAACCCTCTCCTACTTGTCACTTAATCACTTAGACCCTTAACATTTAAAATATTACACTTACATCCCATGCAAAATTCAAATATGACAAAAATATTCTCTCAATTAGATATCCAAATAATTTTGTTCAACTGATATATTGCATTGGATATAAATTCATGCATTATATTAAATATTCAAATAATAAGCTTGATTTTAAATTTCAAATTATAATAGACCCACAAAATTAAAGGTAACATGAANTAATAATATATAAATTCATGGATTATATTAAATATTCAAATAATAAGCTTGATTTTGAATTTTAAATTATAATAGACCCACAAAATTATAATTTTTTATTAGGATGATATCATTTTTTTAACAGTTATATTAACAAATATCAACGATAAAGAATCATATGTGACACGTGCAAAAATGTCAAAAGATGTAAGAATAATATTCTAAATGTGAAAAACTCCAAATGATTAAGTGACAAACTTGAGATGGTCTAGGTGTAACTTACCTAACTAATTTTAGACAACAAACTGACACGATACAAATTATATATTTGAGGGTACAAATTAAAATTTTTTATCTTTAAATATACAAATTAATATTCGAACGATCTTTCGAGGTACAATTTATGATTAACACTAAAATTTAATGATTTTATATTAAAAAATGTAATTGCTATCATAGACATTCGAAATGACTAGGCTCAGATNCAATTTACGATTAACACTAAAATTTAATGATTTATATTAAAAAATGTAATTGCTATCATAGACATTCGAAATGACTAGGCTCAGATTAATCTGTTTTTCGTTTGTTTTTGTTAACAAATTGCTCTTAACAAATTTGAACTTAAATTTTTTTGGGATTTTACTTCAAACATTTTTTTTTGAATGAAATCATGTATCTATTCCTATTAAGAGGAGAACCAAGAAGGTTAATCTCAATTGAATAATCCAATTATTGAACGACAACACATAGAATTTCACACTTGCAAATAAAAATTACATTCTTCACATAACTTCAGTTCTTACAAATGATGGTTTAACATGCCATCAAATTAAAAGATCTTGTATTTAAATCTCATTATTACCGTCATAATTCTAAGATTTACATATGGATTGACTCGTGTAAAGAGCTTTTAGGTGGGGTGTTAATAAAGACTAATTACTCAAGTTCAGCTCGAACTAGAACTCGTGTTTTAAACGAGCTGAACTTAAATAATTTTTTCTTGACTCAAACCTCATAAAACTCGACTCGTTTATATATAAAATAATCAAGTTACTCAAATTTTATCCAACTTGTATAAAACTTAACTCGAGTTTGGGCTCGCGTTCTAAAAGAATTGAATTCAAACAATTTTTTATGTTCATTTAAAAAAACGATCCTAAAAAACTCAACTCAAACTTGACTCGTTTATATATAAAATAATCGATCTACTCAAATTCGACTCGAACTCGAGCTTGAATTTGATTCGAATTCTAAATAAGTCGAGTTTAAATAATTTTTTAAGATCGTTTAAAAAAAAGAATCTAACTAGCTCAGACTCAAGCTCCTAAAACTCGGCTCGATTACCACCCTTCCTTTTAGGGTTTTAGATGAGATGGTAACAAAAACTTCATAGGATTTCATAGGTGCTTGAAAGGCACACCATCATTTTAACCACCATGGTTGCTGTTAAAGAGTGTAGCTGGCACCATGTCCAAGTCCAAAGTTCACCTTAATTGCCATACACGTACCTAAGACGGCTTGCATTTCAAAGCAACAGCAACACCAAGAAGACAACTATTTACAGTTTTCGATTCCAAGTCACTAATTTAGACAAAAAAATTCACTACCTTTCCTCTGTTAATAATGATGCAGACATATAACAGGAAGTGAAGGGTAATTTTGATGGAATGGGAAAGCTATGATGTGCAACATGGTACATGACTTAGTTGCCTCAATTAGTTGCGTGCTGACCCAATAACAAAATCAACGACTTCCGCGCCGGGGGAGGGTGGGGTGCGTAGCAGCTGGAGCTCAGTTATAACTTGGGTCATCCACGACTACTGGAGCAAACTACAGAAATAAAGAAGAGACCAATTTTGTGATAAGAGGGATAGTACCATACAACTACCATAAATGAGTTGCTAAATAACTAACCTCATTTTCGCAGCACATTCCGTCAACTGCACTGTTTTGCTGGAATTCCCATCCTAGAGTTCCCTCAAGCAGTGTTTTGAGTTTTCTTGTCTAAAAAAAAGATTGAATTATTATTGTTCCACTCAACATGATGTAATGGACAATAAGCAACTAACTTAAAAATTCAGCAATAAAAATGAATGATGATGACAATGATTTCCATCCACTGCAANATTCAAACTCGTAAAACTTGACTCGTTTATATATAAAATAATCGATCTACTCAAATTCGACTCGAACTCGAGCTTGAATTTGATTCGAATTCTAAATAAGTCGAGTTTAAATAATTTTTTAAGGTCGTTTAAAAAAAAGAATCTAACTAGCTCAGACTCAAGCTCCTAAAACTCGGCTCGATTACCACCCTTCCTTTTAGGGTTTTAGATGAGATGGTAACAAAAACTTCATAGGATTTCATAGGTGCTTGAAAGGCACACCATCATTTTAACCACCATGGTTGCTGTTAAAGAGTGTAGCTGGCACCATGTCCAAGTCCAAAGTTCACCTTAATTGCCATACACGTACCTAAGACGGCTTGCATTTCAAAGCAACAGCAACACCAAGAAGACAACTATTTACAGTTTTCGATTCCAAGTCACTAATTTAGACAAAAAAATTCACTACCTTTCCTCTGTTAATAATGATGCAGACATATAACAGGAAGTGAAGGGTAATTTTGATGGAATGGGAAAGCTATGATGTGCAACATGGTACATGACTTAGTTGCCTCAATTAGTTGCGTGCTGACCCAATAACAAAATCAACGACTTCCGCGCCGGGGGAGGGTGGGGTGCGTAGCAGCTGGAGCTCAGTTATAACTTGGGTCATCCACGACTACTGGAGCAAACTACAGAAATAAAGAAGAGACCAATTTTGTGATAGAGGGATAGTACCATACAACTATCATAAATGAGTTGCTAAATAACTAACCTCATTTTCGCAGCACATTCCGTCAACTGCACTGTTTTGCTGGAATTCCCATCCTAGAGTTCCCTCAAGCAGTGTTTTGAGTTTTCTTGTCTACAAAAAAGATTGAATTATTATTGTTCCACTCAACATGATGTAATGGACAATAAGCAACTAACTTAAAAATTCAGCAATAAAAATGAATGATGATGACAATGATTTCCATCCACTGCAATAGAAATTGAATCATTCTACTACAAAATTTTGCATTCGAGTCCTAGCAAAACAAAAGCAGAGGATGGAGCTTATGACATGTAAACCGATTTTATGCTTGACCCAAACATGCCACCACAGTTGTGTTTGTATTCTCAATTTCTTTGAAGTCCATGTGCGCAAAATAGCCTGAGAAATTGAGTATACAAAGATGATTATCATAATTTTGGAGACAAGATCTGACTGCATGAGTGATGAAGTAGTCCATTCTTTTGTTGTTAATTGATAATATATTCTGTGAAATGGGATGGATAGCGACATTAGAAGGGGCAGAAGACAAGCAAAAAGATAGTGACTCACCATCAATAACGCTTTTCACAAACAAAGAAACAACAATTAGAAGTTAACATGGCCAGACTTATGTGCATCAACAGACTAATAATTTTATTACTTTAAACTCAATCCATCATCCTAATGCTAATACAAATTGCTTAAAAATCACCTGCTCAAGTTATTCATATTGGGAAGTTCAGGAGCAGCAACCAATGTACTGGGTCTCATGGCTCATAGAGAGCAAGTGACAACGACGACTTTTCATGAACTCAAAACAGATGGTGGAATTTTTCACTTTGAATACTCTATAGAGTAGTCCAATTGGCAGACAAACTTTTGAGTTTCCCCTTTGTGTTCACTGGGACTTATTCTAGTAATTACCTAGTGCAAAAAAAAAAAAAAATGGGGTATGCAAGATGAGGGAGAAGCCTACAAGTTGTTGGGGAGACGGGCCTGGTCATCCTTGTTAACCAAAAGACCACACACACACAGAACATTCCACATTTTTCTTGTATTGTCCTTTAAAGGTGGTTGTATGGCTTGTTCTTCCACAATGTTGAGGGGAAACGTTCTAAAAATATGACTCCATAACACAACAAAGTCCCTTGCTTGCTTTATGTAATAGATAATAAGGGCAAAAGTTCCTCTTACAAGTAATTTAAGATGCAAATTTATTTTCATGCATCCTTACACATGTATTTTAAGAGTATGCTAAGTAAACAATATTAAATTAGAGGCTGTATATCTTTCTACAGTTATTTTTTGAAAATAAACAACTAAATTAAAAAACCCTGAAAAGTCCCACATTGGCTTGCACACCATCAGTCATTGAACCAGAAAACTCTTATTTGTTTGCAAACAAAATCAGCAGAAAAAGTATGGGCTCAAGTAAAGGACTAGAATACACACCGCAGTCAGAAGACCTCCATCTACTACTGGGGCTTCAAGCACCAAAGAGAAGAAATCCTGAAATCAAAAAAATTCTAGAGTGGTAGCATTTCAAGAGCTGTTTTGATCAAACAATAATGAAATCTAGTGAGCAACATTATTACACAACACTGATTTCCTTATTATTGATGGTAAGTATATATCCAATTATCTAACACTGATTTCCTTATTGATAGTAAGTAGACTTACACCGGAAGGTAAAATATGTAGTAGTAGAAGATAAAATATCTTGCAACTTTACTGGCAGAAGAACAATGATTCTAAAACAGTGCACAGTGATGAAACCATGAGCAATAGCTTGCACCTTGTAGATTTTCTCAATTTTAAAGCCAATACTTTTCCATTAGTTTGATGCAATAAAAGACACCACACTTGGTTGATGGATTTCCTGCCTTTTGCAACTGCCATTAATGGATACTACTGTCTATATGGTGTTGAGAATCTGGTCGATGTAATTTTCTTCAACAGTTTTATCAGTTTGGCATCCCTCCTTTCAAGAATATATCTTAGGTGACTACCATGACATGGCCCTTAGTCCTTGCTGTTCCCTAATCTTGTGAAATTAAAGCTTATTGTTTTGTGCCTTTGCTGAGCAACTGGAGGTAAATTTTAGCCTGCAAATAACAAAAGCGGTGACTACCTTGCAAAGGTGGTGCAAAAAGCTACCAGCCGATATCCAAGACTCATCCAGCAATGCTAAAGCCCCCCTCTCTGCAACGCCAGTGTCTGTATTGTCCTTTTGCAATCCATACTTCAGCTGATAATAGATGGCTTTAATAAACTGTAAACAACCAACAAGTTCAGATATCAGCAGGAACCAAAACCAAAAAGGGCAACGAAAGCCCGATGGAAAAATACAAACATTGAATTACAAAGAAAGCAAGAAAAAAATATAAAGGTTGTAGGATAAAGTGAATGAGTATGTCCAGGGTGTAATAAACCAATACCAACCCAATTATGAGAGAACTGATTTTAAACAAGAATGGTACTCAAACAAAAGGCTGATGACTTAGCCAAGTTGGTAACATTCAATGAAGGCCCCAATAATCCACACACGAATATAAGTCCAAATGGTTCAAGTTGCACCCGCCATAAAAAGAAGTTGAACGCCAACAGGAACATGTATCCAGGACATGAGGAGCAATGGCTTGTAACCTGACAGACACTATGGTTCCCAAAATAATAGAATAAAAAATTCTAGTGATGGTATTGTTGAAATCGATAGCATCAGTTTTAATGGGCCAAAAAAAAAAAAGATGACAGAGGATGTAATGTGANACAAAATTCTAGTGATGGTATTGTGGAAATCCATAGCATCAGTTTTAATGGGCCAAAAAAAAAAAAGATGACAGAGGATGTAATGTGAAAAACATAGCCTACCTTCCAAAATAATATCATAAACATCTATAAATGTTAACATAAATGCATTGAAAATAATTCTTCTAGACTGGCGCATCCAGCCCCGAAGAGCTGCAAGAAGATTTTGTGAAGTTTGCCATACAATTCTACTTTGCATTGCATTCCAAATCACCACAATTGCCATGGGGCAAAAGAAAACAAGAATATCTAAGAAGAGAGATGCTTTAACAAATTACCTTGGTGAACAGCCGACTCCTTGTGTGGAAAGGCTGCAAAAAAGGACCGTCAATATAAAATGTTCAAAACCAAAATAAAAGCATAAACTCAAGTTGCTACAAATAATGTGTGTCCAAGTATGAGGGGTTAGACAGTATTGGACATGTTATGAGGGGTTACAGAGTAGCATAAACTTGATCTCTGCATAAAATCCTGTAGTTTGGAAATGTTTTTTATTGATATTCTCATTAGCAATATAAATATAACTAGTGAACTATTACAAGTAAAGTCAACGTTCATATGATGTCATATAGTACGTTTATACAAAACAAGGTCCTAACCAATGAAGAATTAGCAATCTCGTTACTTACAGCTTCTGTGCAGCCAAGTAAGAGGCTAACTAAAGTTTTCCACTGTAGAAATGCTTCAAGCGATTGCCCAATCTGCAAAAGAGCAAATGTGGTGAAGATCCAAAGATTTTCTTCAACAAGATCACATGTATTAAACAAGAAATCCAATTATATACCAAAAATGCAACAAATGCAAATTGAAGTTCTGCCAGAAGTAAGTCTTCATCACCTCCATAGTCATTATTCAATATGCTTTCCAAAAGATGTGTCTGACAGCAAGTAGTCAAGCACAATAATTATTCAAATCTAACAATATGCAAGGTTGCTCAAAACTATGCAACTTTAGTAACATACCATAAAAATTCGCATCAATGCATACCTTGTCAAGGTTCAAATTAGTAAGTTCTTGCCCACTAATACCCTTGTGCTTTATAACACGGGGAATTGGTGTGTAATAGCACCCACTTCTCTTAGGCTTGTCAATGAGGCTTGAAAATTTACCACTCTTCAACTGCTCTGCCAAAACTTCTTCCATGGATGTTTTAGGACTGTTAACCACCATCTCTGATTCACATGCAACCGTGATTTCTCCTCCAATGGGTTCTGTAAATTAAAGAAATTATGGAAAACCAGATTGAAAATGAAAAGGCTGCGCAAGCTGATCATAAATAGAGATATTATTTCTCTCTGAAATCTATAAAATTTACAGGTCTGAAGATCATTAAAAGGAAGTTACTAACATGTCTATGTCTAAGATCAATGACACATTTAATGGAGATTGAGGCATCAACCAAGAATAATATTAGTATGAAAACTTCAAAATATTGGGATTTCCTGAGCCAAATAAACCCTTGCCTGGATCTTTACAGTGTATAATGTCATAGCAAAATGTTATTTAGTAAATTTGATATTTGATACCCCCAAAAAAAGAAAATAAGAAATAATCCTTTGGTGATGAGCTAAATCGGGTCCATCTTGATAAATATATGATTTAAAAAATTCATCACTTGATCATGAGAAAAAAATTCATGTACCAAAAGAGTGGCCTTCCTACAAAGAGAAACGGTACCACAAATTAAGAGTGTCTGGTTTGGAGGGAAGGGAACAAAAGGGAAAGGAAGCTAATAAAAGAGCAAGAAAGAAAGAAAGTTGAAGAGGAAGTTAATGAGTTTTTCTATTTCCTTTAATATGTAACATGATGTTGTCGCTGATTGTAGTTTTAAACATGCACTTTATAAGTGACTTGCCTGTAAAAACTATTTCAGTAACGTATTTTAAGAGTGGCAGAATATTCTGTCATCTTTTTAGCATGTTGCAAATAATCAGCAATAAAAACCAAAAACTAAAGTAAAAATTGACAATAAAAATGTGTAGCAAAACTAAAACAAAAAATACAGGCAGTGGCTGCTCACCCTTAGAAACTCCTGGTGTCACAACACGAGAAGACCTAATGCAGCCTTGGCCGTTCAATCAATTTACAAAGCCAATACTTATTTTTCTAACCAAAAGATAATAAAGCCAACATGGAGGGCGTACAGGAATACATCAGCTACCTAATTCAAATTTAGTACCAGACCCCATCTATCAATTTTGACCAACAAATACTAAAATCTCAATCATTAATAAATACCCAAAGTACCCCACAAAAACCAATCAGGCCAAAAGAATTACAAACAATAACGAGAGGAGCCCATTAAGTAGCCAGATGGCTTACCAATGTGTTCAATGGTACTCTTTGTAATGTAGTTAGACAATTGCTTCCAATCTCCATACCGCTCTAGTGAATAAGGCCCAAGGTGTCTATCAAACTCCAGACTTTTTACAGCTTCAGAGTATCTCACTTCCTGCAACAAAAAATGAAATCAATGAGCATCACACAGACAAACTTTACAATTCAAACTTTCACCACTGAATCACAAATATGTTCTCTTAATTTCATAAAGAATCTTTTACATAACTATGGGTCGTATTTTGAATAACATGGTTGAAATTACACACATTTGTTTACTTTAAGTGTCAGCAAGAACTAAAAGTAACTACATCTTCAATTGGATCCAGCTATTTACACACCAAATTATTATCAGAGAAAAAACAAATATTTTTAGACCATAAATTTGGTGGAAGTAGGCTGGGTCTGAAGTTCCCTGATAGCTGGGATAACCCATGACTGGAACCTTTTGAAGATCATCCNGATATTTACACACCAAATTATTATCAGAGAAAAAACAAATATTTTTAGACCATAAATTTGGTGGGAGTAGGCTGGGTCTGAAGTTCCCTGATAGCTGGGATAACCCATGACTGGAACCTTTTGAAGATCATCCATTTTCGAGGTCTGATTTAAACTAACGAACAAACAAATTAAATATACTACCGAAGCTCAAAGGTGGCTCTTTTTCCGTTAAACAATAGGGATTGCAATTTGGACTTTGGAGGGTTTAAATGTTGAGATAAGGTAAAATTCACATCAGATGGCNAGCGATAACGAACAAACAAATTAAATATACTACCGAAGCTCAAAGGTGGCTCTTTTTCCGTTAAACAATAGGGATTGCTATTTGGACTTTGGAGGGTTTAAATGTTGAGATAAGGTAAAATTCACATCAGATGGCACTTTATGTGCAAGGAATCTGTAGAGAGTGCAAGAATTTACTGCTGCAATGTACTGCTGCACAGAAGAGTTGCAAGAGAGATGTGGACTCTATTTNGCACTTTATGTGCAAGGAATCTGTAGAGAGTGCAAGAATTTACTGCGGCAATGTACTGCTGCACAGAAGAGTTGCAAGAGAGATGTGGACTCTATTTTTATACGTTATTTATTGTTTCATGGGCTATGCCACAATCCATAGAGAAATGAGATACTATTGAATTCGTGGTTGACACAGAAGTAAGAGGAAGCGGGGGAGGACACTCCGCTGCTTGACGTGATCCATCAGTCTTTCAGAAAGCCCATAACCTAGTGGCCCAATAGTTCAATTCTCCAGGTGCAAGCCAATATTAGCCTTCTGAAACCAAATTATGTGCTATGCTAGAAGGGTAGTAGTAAAGATTTAAAGGTGTCTACCTTGGTCTTCACCTAGAGTCCAAGAGATGAGATCTGATAAACTTAAGTACTGCCAAGTCTGACAGTTTCTATGATAGTATTAGAAGAAAATCTTATCCGGATGTTTGCTTCCTCAAAACTTTGGTTTGCTAAATTAGTTAGCTTTCTCTCACTTTAACACTTCAAACTTAAGCAATTTAGTACTCTGTTAGTGGTACACAAAGTCTTCTCCATCTAGTTTAGTGAATTTAAAGCTTTGGAGTTGCCCTCACTTACTGGAACATGAGAACAGATAATACCTATTCAGGCCTCAGGGAGTAAAGCTTACGCAATGGACTCTTTTGTACATTTTGCACCATTTCTGGCTGCAATTATCTATGCACATACATATAAAACAATCATCAACCAAAAAAAGAAAGAAAAAAAGAAAACGTGTCAGACCTCTTCTTCTGGCAGTTTGAATAGTCGCTCCTCTTGTTGATCCCATCTGCGAACAATCACCTGTTAACCATGACGTATGAAACAGATCAGTACTGCAAAAACACACTGATCTCATAGAGTGCAAACACCTTACTCTTAAAGAAGTTGATTCAATAATTTTTTACCCAGACGGCGATTTCAGCTTTGCTTATGCATAAGGTAAGTTTTCATTCCAAATACGTGTCCCTATAAATTATTTCCATGGTTTCTAAGAACTGCAACTGCTAATTGACCATATCATCCTGGTATGACTGGAGATTAAAGTCTAGTATGTTACTCTGAGACCTCAAAGCACTGGATTACAGTGTCAAATTAAGAATACAAAGTTGTCAAGCATCAACAAATAAATGCACGCACTACCATTATATGGTGACATAATATCTCTTTCATAAATCACTGTTTGAAAACAGCAATCACTGCCTTCTTAAAGCTCCAAAAGGATGAAAATTTCTTTGTAGTGGACTCTTTAATAATGAATATCTTTAACTTTGGAGTTGATGTTTAAATTGTGAGGAATGTACTATAAGTTTGATGTTTGGAATTAAGGTCATGTATCTGAATGTAAATTAAGAAAAGATAAATAAATATGAAGTTATAATTTTACCTTAGTTTTACTTTGCTGTATCATTCGGTTTGCTTGAGATGAGTAGGATGATCATGAATCTATTACGTTAGCTGCTCACACAGCCATGATTGATCCGCTATGAGAGTCACGCTATGGAACTTGGCAATCCCGGTCTAGGGTCAAGGAAGTCATAATTTGAATTGACACCAGCGTCTTGGTATTCCAAAATTCATATAACAACAGTGATATTCTTCCAAGTTTTGTATTGATCTCAGAAAAGGGAAAACTAACATCTGTCTACAAATACCATGGGCCGTAATTATTTTAAAGAGTCATTTCAAAATATATTTACTCGTACTTGCGTTGAGTCATTTCAACTAATATCTCTATGTATATATGTCATGGTTGCATCAGTAAGTTTGATGTTCGATTGACATTGACATAACACATTCAGCATGGCCATTGTGTGCAAGACCACCGCAGCGTTTTCGTGAGTAGTAAAACCACAGACTTATTCAAAACATATCCTAAATTATAAACTTGGCAATTCAGTTGAAGGGAGAAAAATCTAAATTCAAATAAATATAATGCATTAGAAGCTTTTCACACAATGGTAATATGTCAGTGAAGAATTGTTGCTGTGAACTCAGAATATGAATGAGGAAGCAAAATCGCTTCAAACCTCTGATGGGGTCGCATGAATAAAGAAACCAATGATTGGTGAGAACTCATGTCCATCTCTGCATGAAAAAATGTATAACAGGATTTACTAATTCTCAAACACAAGATGGGACAGACACAATTTCAGAAAAATGGGACACAATTTCAGAAAAATAGGACACAATATTCAGAAAAGTAACTTGCAGTAAGATAACCTGCTTGATGAACTATAGAAGACAAAATGGGGACCAGGTGGAATCATCTTGATCCCCTTAAATGCAGGGCCTACAGAGAACGTCTGCAACATAAATGTATTAGTCCAGCTAAGCTCCACAAGAAAAATCATAAGCCATGGCACAAAATTATTAATGTGACTAAGATAGCATAGATATCTTCAGACAAACAAGGTTAGTTAATATGAAATTAGGGGAGGAACTCTAGAACCAAGCTGATAAAGAAAGAAGTCGGATACCAAAACGAATGGCCAATACATTAACATATATTAAGCACAAAGATTCAAAAAGGTTCCTAAAGTATAAAACATTAGCTTGGACGCATCAAATTTAAAGCAAACAATGAAACAATTATGAAATAGAAGAAATATGAATCAAGATAAGGCTGATAAGCAAGCAAGCATCATAAAATTTGTCTGCAAACAACAGAAGAGAAAACTGGGAGTCTGGGGGACAATTGACAAGCTGCAAGAGGCTAAGGCTTCACCAGACGAATGGGACTTCAAAAATTGACTCTATCCAATTGAATTAAGAAAACATCTATTAATTTTGCATTAAAAACTACAAGATATCCAATTAAAGCATAGTATTTAAAATGAACAGAGAACCGGATACCAGTTATAACCCAACTGCCAACGATTAGTACCGAACTCTGATAATTACAACGGAATCACTTCGTATTCTTGCACAAACTCCACACACAGCAATATATTTCCTTTTTGCCAACTTCGAAACGGTTAAGCCGATTAAAGATCAATATTCATTCAATTCCTTTCAATTAATGTCTACTGTTCATAAATTTTGAGCAAACAAACATATAATGGTGTATATACAATACATAAGTACGTACCTGAGTGTCAATGCCGATAAGTGTGTATTGAGGAACATCGAGAAGAAGGAGAGTAGCTCCGCGCTTTACAAATTCTAGCGCTGTTTGAGGATTCATTAGGTGTGTGGACAGATCGCTTGAAACGAATTGGTTTGAGTGGGGCTTGTTCTAGTGTTCTTTGCATTTGGGAGTCCAGACGGTTCTACGCTTTTTCTTGCCCGCTGTCCTAAACCGACTCCNTCCATTATGTGTGTGGACAGATCGCTTGAAACGAATTGGTTTGAGTGGGGCTTGTTCAAGTGTTCTTTGCATTTGGGAGTCCAGACGGTTCTACGCTTTTTCTTGCCCGCTGTCCTAAACCGACTCCGGAGGTGTAGAGTTTCCAACTTTTAGTGGATTAAGTCATCAGTGACTCTTATTATTATTTGTTAATATTATTTCTTGGATAAATTGTATCGGAGATTTATAAAGTATAGAATTTATCTTATTTTAATTTTTAATATTTTAATTATATTATTTTGATTTTTGAAATATTAAATATATTTTTATGTAATTCTTTAATTAGATAACATTTAAACTGCTAACGATTTTTTAACACAATACTTAAATATAGATAAAAAATAATTTAAATAGTTTTTTTACCAAAAATATGTAATATAGATAACTCTCGACCAAAATTTAGATAGGTGCNTCTTGAAATATTAAATATATTTTTATGTAATTCTTTAAGTAGATAACATTTAAACAGCTAACGATTTTTTAACACAGTACTTAAATATAGATAAAAAATAATTTAAATAATTTTTTACCAAAAATATGTAATATAGATAACTCTCGACCAAAATTTAGATAGGTGCGGATTAAAACTGTATAATTTAGATAGCTATTTGACCAAAAATTTAGTAGAAATTTGGTTACGAGTTATCTAAATTATTTTTTTTGTTTATATTTAGGTATTAAATAACAAATTTGTAACAAAAAAATTGTTACCGATCTAGACGTTATCAGCTTGAGAAATCATATAAAAATATATTAAATACTTCAAAAACTAAAATAATGTAATTGAAACATTAGAGATCAAAATGAAACAAACCTTATACTTTGGATCATCCAGTGGAATTAACTCTTATTTCTTTCTACTTTTTATTATTTTTTAATGTTANTGTTTATATTTAGGTATTAAATAACAAATTTATAACAAAAAAATTGTTACCGATCTAGACGTTATCAGCTTGAGAAATCATATAAAAATATATTAAATATTTCAAAAACTAAAATAATGTAATTGAAACGTTAGAGATCAAAATGAAACAAATCTTATACTTTGGGTCATCCAGTGGAATTAACTCTTATTTCTTTCTACTTTTTATTATTTTTTAATGTTAAGTAGAGACCAAGGAGTGAGGTACACTTAACGTATTTTTCTTCTAATTATTTTTTTGTTAGATTATTTATTATTATCCGTATTTTATATAAATGAGTTTTTCCGACAGACAATCTATGAAAAAAAAAATAAAAAAGTATTGCAGCTGAAAAGAATATCAAAGCAGTTACATATTTTTTTTCAAGTTGTAATGAATCATAATANCCGTATTTTATATAAATGAGTTTTTCAGACAGACAATCTATGAAAAAAAAAATAAAAAAGTATTGCAGCCGAAAAGAATATCAAAGCAGTTACATATTTTTTTTCAAGTTGTAATGAATCATAATAATCTAATTTTGAGAATACCCTTATTATTTCTCATAATATCTATTTTTATAAAAGTCCTTTTTTTATTTTTCTATTTTTATGAGAGTCCTTAAGTAATAGGTGATGGTCAATTTTTATTTTCTCTTTTAAAATTTGAAACTTAATTAATCTGGTTGAATTTTTTAAATATTGGAAAATTCCTCTAATCATGCACAAAAAAGTTCAAGAAATCCTAATTATATGGGTAACCATAGATTGCCCACTTAAAAATCTCATTATGTTACATCGATTTAAAATTTGTTTGTATTTTTTCTCGTCACTAATAAATTATTTTTAATGTGCAATGGTAATATGACAAACCGGTATAACCATCACGCTAGTGATGTAGGAATATATACTCACAAGTATCCCATTTCATAGCATGGTATAAAACCATTTTTCGATAATGCAGTCCACATGACCACCTTTCCCTTTGTGTATGATTTTCTCTCTCCCTCTCTTCAGAATGAGTTGAGTAACTAACTGTACCATTGTCTGGAAGAATGATGGTTGTGACAGGAAAATATTGGCCAGATAACTCTTGTGCATTCAAGTGGGTGAAAATGCCGTGGTTGTGGACCTAGNCCTTTCCCTTTGTGTATGATTTTCTCTCTCCCTCTCTTCAGAATGAGTTGAGTAACCAACTGTACCATTGTCTGGAAGAATGATGGTTGTGACAGGAAAATATTGGCCAGATAACTCTTGTGCATTCAAGTGGGTGAAAATGCCGTGGTTGTGGACCTAGAGACAGAGATTGAAGCCCCGGAAAATCTCCCTGATCATGATCAAACTCACTCTGATTCTCGATGGCGATCTGAGCCATTTAATGAATGAAAATGAACTCTCGTTGATTGATTATTTTCGGGTTTCAGCTCAACNTGAAGCCCCGGAAAATCTCCCTGATCATGATCAAACTCACTCTGATTCTCAATGGCGATCTGAGCCATTTAATGAATGAAAATGAACTCTCGTTGATTGATTATTTTCGGGTTTCAGCTCAACCACCATTGATGCAGGGTAGAAAAAAGAAAATAAGAATGTGATACAGTGGATGCGATTCAAATTGCTTTTGATCTTCAGGCCTCGAGAATGTACTACCTGGACTCTTCATGGTCAGGAGGATTGTGCTGTGTTAAGATTATATATGCTTCTGGATTGATGATTTGATCTCGAGATAGAAGACATCAAGTTACATACATTAAGTTCTTAGTAACCACACCATAATGTTGTATGGAAATAAAAATAAGTAGCAACTCAATCCAATATCATGAATATTACACACCCTTATAACACGGCTATAAATTTACTCTACCTCAACCATTTTGAAGATTATTTTCCCGTATCTCAGTATCCATCACGACTAACAGTCCCTTTAAATATATAGAGGCAATCTCCGTTTTCAACACCATGCCAGCGTAGGCTACAATTGTCACGCATAATCCTCTGTTTGTGGATGAATATGTAATCATCCANAGCTCAATCCAATATCATGAATATTACACACCCTTATAACGCGGCTATAAATTTACTCTACCTCAACCATTTTGAAGATTATTTTCCCGTATCTCAGTATCCATCACGACTAACAGTCCCCTTAAATATATAGAGGCAATCTCCGTTTTCAACACCATGCCAGCATAGGCTACAATTGTCACGCATAATCCTCTGTTTGTGGATGAATATGTAATCATCCATTGGGACTAACTTTCTGGTCAACAGTATCTGCCTCAAGTCATTGACAGTACTTGAGTCCTTCATTTCTATAGGAATTCTGGCTGCATTAAGCAAGCTAGAGGAAGTCTGCACCACCAGATTGAGCCTCCTTGAAGGAGGGTCTGCTGTCAAGCGGCTCATAGTTTTAAGGAACACAATGATTTCCGAAGACTCACAAATGCCATACTGTCTCAAATCGCGAAAATCTTCATCCAGCTCTTTCCCAGAAAAGAAGAGTGACATTCTTTTGATCGGGGTGCCATCAATTATATGGATTTTTTCTTTTAGACTGCGGACTGTTTCTGTTATATCGACCTCTATATTTATCTTTCTTGATGAAAATTTGACTGTTATTTGAATCTTACCATGATGTTGAAAAGAAGTCTCCATACATTTGATTGTGAGATCAATTTTTGTGCCTTCATTGACAATTGGGTAATCTTCCAAATCAAGTCCATCAACCAATTCCCACCCACAAACACAGAGAGTTTGAGAAGCCGTAGGAACACCAAGAAAGTGTTCTATTTTCTGTTTGATATCCAAAATGGGTTCTTGGAGACCTACTTCTAGAGCCAACTCGTGTCCTCGAGTAACAATAACGACCCTCATTATGTAGATGATTTTGAATAACTTATTTTATTGCTAACTAATTACAGTATGCACTGAACTTGAATCTAGATATCTAAAACACGAAGTACCCTCCCGAGTGCCAGTCAGAAAGAATATTATGGGAGTTATTTAAGACTCAAAATCATGTAGGAAGAATGAGTCTTGCAATATGTGTGTTCTGTTCATTACCAATGCATTTTTCTTGTTTTTAAGCATGGGCTTGATGCGAAATTCACTTGCAAACAAGATAGTAAACTCCCAAACACAACACCACCAAACCCCAAACATAATAGTCCTGCGTTAGATGAAAAATGATGAAACCCTAGTAACTCTTACCATTGCTAAAGCTTTCTTTTGAAGACTTTTCACTCTAATTGTCGTTATTGAAGCAATATCATAGTGAATCTTTCCTATCGTAAAAGGATCAACTACCTAGCGGGCGCTTGTTGAGGCTTTACCGTCTAAGAACATCTATAGTCTAAATTGGAATTGGGAGTGCAAGAACAAAAAATAAATTTGTTTCTTCCTCCAAAAATTCTGATTTCGATATTCTCAAAATTTAGCAACCACTCCGGATTTTCAAATGTTCCTTGCTAATTTAATATTTTCAGATACCAAGCTCAACATTCAAATTGTGTCTCAATAAATCCAAAGGAATATGATTTGATGTGGAAGTAACAAAATTCTAGAGCAATATTGTCATTAAAATCCATATACCTAGATAAGGTTTATGCGTTTCATTTAAGTCAACATCTAGCTCCAAACTAGTTCAAGAACTGTCGCAATTTCTAAAAACAGCAAAAAATAAAAACATTGCAATNCCTAGATAAGGTTTATGCGTTTCATTTAAGTCAACATCTAGCTCCAAGCTAGTTCAAGAACTGTCGCAATTTCTAAAAACAGCAAAAAATAAAAACATTGCAATTTCTAATACTGAAACGAAAATCAAACAGAATCAGCAAATTCAAAAACTCCAACCATAAAAATTGCATTTCATGTATAATGTACGCAATAAAATTGTAGCTTTTCCACATCCCTGTTTTTACTCGATGGCTATGCCTGAAGGAATCAGGCACATAACCAAGGTGAAAGAAGCTGCTCAATATGTCAAGAGCTTGGTTTTGGCAGCATCTATGCCTAATAGATAAATGGACGAGCTAAATGCTCTTATTATTTCCAGAAGAGCCTCATTTGGTCCATTCATGCCCTCTCTTGTCCTTGAGTAAGTCAGTGTACAACAAACAGAAAAGCAAAATTTATCTCTTTTATAAAAAAAAACTTCGAATAAAACATTTTAGGTTGACTGGTTGTAGCCAGGTCAGACTGTTTCTTTAGACTGTATTATATAACTTGTGATTTTTGGTATAGTTTGAATCGTAATTGTGATTCAGTTGTATCTCTCAGCCTTGTATTTAACTTCTGGGTTGCGAATGTCATCCTGACTCTGAATCAATCGAATCTCTAAACTGCTTGATTGGGGATCATATCCAGCCCTCTGATAATCAGTCAATGTCCTCAGCAGCAGTGCCTGCAAGCTTGATACAGCAAGCTCTGCTGCTTTCTCAAGGTTATCAGCATATTTCTGGTCAACACAGAGAGCAGCTACAATTAGAACGAAGATATTATGGGCAAATTGGATTAGAGGTGAACCAAAGCTGGCAAATAAGTAAGGGCGTTACATTGCTCCATCCAAGTAACAGTGCAGTCATTAGATCACCTGTTCCCTGTAAGCGTATACACATTTTAATTAGGATAGTGTCTGATACCCAGAAGTGTGTGGTATTTCAAAATGTACAGTGAAGACTGGTAATGTTACAACCAAATTCACTGCTAAATTGCAAGAATTCATTCACCATAAATTCATAGTTGCATGAGATTGCAAATTTGCACATAGCACGCTATTCAACACTATTGATCTAAGCTACATACGCCACTACCAGATAAATAAAGACCTTTCTGTTTTTCAAAAACTCCTACATCCCTTTCTCAGAACACAAGGTATCATGAGATTTCAGGAAACTGACGCATCAACTATACAGAAATATTTTATCATGAATTATGAGGTATAATCCATTCAATGCCTCTTCCTATATAAAGGGCAGCTCAATGCACGAGACTCTACCACGACAAGGTCTGGGGAGACTCAGAAGTACGCAGACTTTTTGTGACTTCAACACTTATTCCTATAGAAAATCATTTTGTTCAAAAAAAAATTTCTCCATAGTGATTCTAATATCTTATTACCATATATCTACTGCCAGCATCATCAAACCAGCATGTCATATGTGTGAATAGCATTGGTGTGCTGGAGTTGCCTGCCAATTCTTGCTTCCAAATTTTGAAAAATGATTTTTCCAAGTTGATTATTTATTTGCTAACCTTCTTGCCGTATATAACCAACCCATCTCTGAAGAAAAATGGCTCTAGAAAGAATGTGTAACACACAGTGCTAATTCATTTTACATCATGGACATAATTAAGACAGTAGATGTTTCAAGAAAAACTATAATGCACTTCTTCAACCATGGAAAATAATAACCATCAAATGTGACCCTAGCACCTTTAAACAACCATAAAGTACTCTGCAGAACATGGGACTCCCAGGAGAAAACACATACCGTGAAATATGCAGGAATTTTATGTATCAGAATCTTGAATTGCACAGGAGACTGACCCTGTCACATATAAGCAAGTGTATATAAGACAATTTTACGATGTTAGGGACATAAGGGCTGCATTTCAAATCACTACATCGACTTACTAGTTATGAGAGACAGATTGCAAATAGACCTGTGTTCCTATTGAGAAAAACTCAGAATAGAGCATACAGTACAAACTGTCGCCAAACCATGAGTTTGAGAAAAAATGGGGGGAGAGAGAGAGAGAGATGCAGGATCATATTACTCAATTTCTGTGGAAAGTCCAGCATCAATCATCACGACCCAAAAAAGTTTGGGGTTATCCAATGCTTCAATGTGCAAGCAAAGTAGTTATTAAATTTATAATGACATCCTTCGAAATCCCAACAGTTAGCCTAGTAAATCCTCCTATAAAGCTCAAAGAATCAAGCAATCAAACCCTTCTATGTTGCACAGAAGAAAGTGATTGCAACATTATGGCATAAAGTTAAATTCAACAGTATAACAGTAACCATTTCCAAGTCAAGATTATTCAGATTCATGAGTGACCATTTTTACCTTTTCCTTCTGATGACTGCCAATGAGGAGAAGATTGCCATCTATATTTATGCTCGTTATCACAACCTAAAATAGGGTAAAAATTGGTACATTATGCTAAACAATAAAGATGTAAACTCTAAAATTAGACAGTGTTGCTGATTTGTCACATAATATACTTTTACATTAGATTTGTAGATGAGCATGCTCATAAATACAGAATGTTTAAACTATTAAAGGTGCTGCAAAATGAGTCGCCCTAAAGTATGAATAGTTATTGTAAAACACATTTCTTTGTAACAGCAAAAGAAAAGGAAAAGGTGCTACAAGGCAATGAAAGATATTGGAAAATACAACCCTAACAAGCTAGGTTTCCATTTTCCACCTATCATACATATAGAAATCCAAACAGAGGCAACTTCCGTAGCACCAGAAGTTAATAAGGACAAAAGGAGCGTGTCTAATGAAGGGCAACTTTTACTTGTACTGATTGTATTGCTCTAGTGATACCACCCATGCTACTAATTAACACCAAAGATCAAGTCCATAAGAAAATCTTTTCAATAAAAAAAGAGATCTTTTTGTCTGCTAAACATGTGTCTTGGCGTTTAGCTTTCGTTATTTTTCTGATGGAGTAGAGAAGACCATCATTTTTCCATGTCTCCTTTGCCAATAATCTCGGTTTTTTTCCATCACAGTTCAAAATAAAATAAGACAACCCTTGATCTGAATGATGTGAAGATCAACACCAAGCTCAAAACCACAATATGAGCGATTGTCACGCAGTAAAGCTTGAATCCTCGAGATAGAATCTCAGTCTACTAATCAGATCTAATATTATCATCCAAGAATACAGAATAAGATGCTCCCAATAGTATCTCTATGGATGTCCCTGATTCCTATATTCCCTGGAATTCTGAAAGCACATCAGGTGTTCCAAAAATTTATACAGTGATCACCAGTAACTAGGCTGATTGGTATACACAATGAATTAAGGTGCTAATTAAACCTGTTGATAGCCCAGGTATCCATATATGTTAATATATCTACTAACGCAAAAAGTTCGACGAACCTCGCGGCCTTCTGTCGTATATCCCACAACGTTAGAATTCGGATGCAGTGTGGGCTGCCAAAACCTCCGAATCCTTGCTCTCTCTTTCAGCCTCCTTAAAAAACGTGAGTAAAGATAAGATGCTAACATAGAGAATTTAGACGTCTATATATAAGCTACGACAGATACCCTAAGGAGAAATAAGGACCGGGCTCCCAATGGGCTTAAGATTCCTATGTTCAACCCAGAACAAACATCCTACAGCCTATTAATAATAAGTCAGTCCACTAAAGACTTATTATTGATCTCCTAAACCTTATCTCAAAATTATATTTGAGCTCCTTATTATTATATGCTTAATAATCTCCTCAAGTTTAAGATTATAGATGTTTATCAATTAAATAAATCACTGACAATTATATTTAATTGACTTCTTTTATTCCTTAAGACCTTACCATTTAACTTATTTATCATGTCGAATAATTAAATCTACCTGCAGGGTTTGACATGAACAAAACTTATGCGCTTCTTCAAGAGGACATCATCAACCCATTTAAATACTCGGACGTGGTTTCTTTTAATATTTAATTTCCACCATACAAATAACATCGTCTCCCAATTCATCGAACTTATTGACCCAATATGAATCTTACTTTTTGATGAATTAAAGTGACAAACATTATATGCACATGGCAATTAAATATTTAGGGATTAAGAGCATAAACAATCATAATAATCATGAGATATTTATTGTCAAATTAAATCAGTAAAATATATTAACTTCAACATGGGTTTGTTCAATACACAAAGTGCACTAGTGCAATAATCCGAGACATCAAACAATCTCCTATAATCAAGACAGAATATGTCAGAATATTACACTACAATCATACCGATGGCGTGTCTAATTCTATCTACGATTGTGAACATATACTCATATTATACAGGGATCCGATAATCTGGTCTTCTGTGCATAAGTCGAATTCTACACACTAGATTATCTGCAATGTAAAATAAAAGACACAAATGCATATCACATATAAAATATAATACGAACATTTTGCCCATATCGATTCTCAATAAAATGGAAAGAACAAACTTTTATTAATTAATAAAACGAATTTAACTACAAAAAAACAAACTTTTAATATACTACTCTATCAAATATATCTGCTAACGAAAGAAACACAGTAGCTCATCCACCCAAAAAAAGAATATAAGTAAAGAAGCAGAGAAGACTTCAAAAACCAGGTTTAACAAAAAGAAAATAAAAAGACACAAATAGGAACATCTATGTCAAAAGTGCAAAACACACAAGTATCAATTTTCATGTGAATAAATTAAAGACATAAGTTGCAACAAAACCTTTGATGGTCCTCCAGCATGAAGAATGTTGCAGGCTTCCCGGCCATCTTCTTCAGAAACAATCCTGGAACAAATAAAACCCACCATCACAATGAAAATAAAAAATGCACAATTCAGATATCACTTTTTTCCTATGATGCAATATTCTCTGAGTTTACTATGCCATCTAGCATCAAATTTGAACTTTTGGCCGCATGAAACTCCATAGAATAACCAAACCAAGAACTATATGAATGAACTTTGATACAGATGCTTGTCTAGGACATGAACACACGAGTAAACTGGACATGAACACACGAGTAAACTGGGCATGAATTTCTCCAAGCACAAGAAAGTGGTCAACACATTTGACATTTGCAGACAATTTAATGTTAGATTAAATAGAGCAAAATAGCCATTATATCCTTATTCAAGCCAACAAACAAGAAAACCAGTATTAGCACAGTAAGCAAGATTCATAAATGCAAAGAGCATAAACAAGATGCCATAAGCTTCACCAAGATAAACGTTTTAACATCAGAAGGATGTCAGGAATACCTGAACCCAGTCAATTGTTCTGCTTCGAACTGATTAGGAGTCAACATTGATGCAACTGGTACAACNAAGTTTAAGATTATAGATGTTTATCAATTAAATAAATCACTGACAATTATATTTAATTGACTTCTTTTATTCCTTAAGACCTTACCATTTAACTTATTTATCATGTCGAATAATTAAATCTACCTGCAGGGTTTGACATGAACAAAACTTATGCGCTTCTTCAAGAGGACATCATCAACCCATTTAAATACTCGGACGTGGTTTCTTTTAATATTTAATTTCCACCATACAAATAACATCGTCTCCCAATTCATCGAACTTATTGACCCAATATGAATCTTACTTTTTGATGAATTAAAGTGACAAACATTATATGCACATGGCAATTAAATATTTAGGGATTAAGAGCATAAACAATCATAATAATCATGAGATATTTATTGTCAAATTAAATCAGTAAAATATATTAACTTCAACATGGGTTTGTTCAATACACAAAGTGCACTAGTGCAATAATCCGAGACATCAAACAATCTCCTATAATCAAGACAGAATATGTCAGAATATTACACTACAATCATACCGATGGCGTGTCTAATTCTATCTACGATTGTGAACATATACTCATATTATACAGGGATCCGATAATCTGGTCTTCTGTGCATAAGTCGAATTCTACACACTAGATTATCTGCAATGTAAAATAAAAGACACAAATGCATATCACATATAAAATATAATACGAACATTTTGCCCATATCGATTCTCAATAAAATGGAAAGAACAAACTTTTATTAATTAATAAAACGAATTTAACTACAAAAAAACAAACTTTTAATATACTACTCTATCAAATATATCTGCTAACGAAAGAAACACAGTAGCTCATCCACCCAAAAAAAGAATATAAGTAAAGAAGCAGAGAAGACTTCAAAAACCAGGTTTAACAAAAAGAAAATAAAAAGACACAAATAGGAACATCTATGTCAAAAGTGCAAAACACACAAGTATCAATTTTCATGTGAATAAATTAAAGACATAAGTTGCAACAAAACCTTTGATGGTCCTCCAGCATGAAGAATGTTGCAGGCTTCCCGGCCATCTTCTTCAGAAACAATCCTGGAACAAATAAAACCCACCATCACAATGAAAATAAAAAATGCACAATTCAGATATCACTTTTTTCCTATGATGCAATATTCTCTGAGTTTACTATGCCATCTAGCATCAAATTTGAACTTTTGGCCGCATGAAACTCCATAGAATAACCAAACCAAGAACTATATGAATGAACTTTGATACAGATGCTTGTCTAGGACATGAACACACGAGTAAACTGGACATGAACACACGAGTAAACTGGGCATGAATTTCTCCAAGCACAAGAAAGTGGTCAACACATTTGACATTTGCAGACAATTTAATGTTAGATTAAATAGAGCAAAATAGCCATTATATCCTTATTCAAGCCAACAAACAAGAAAACCAGTATTAGCACAGTAAGCAAGATTCATAAATGCAAAGAGCATAAACAAGATGCCATAAGCTTCACCAAGATAAACGTTTTAACATCAGAAGGATGTCAGGAATACCTGAACCCAGTCAATTGTTCTGCTTCGAACTGATTAGGAGTCAACATTGATGCAACTGGTACAACCTAGATAGAAGGAGCATTCCAAGAGTGTTTATATCTAATTAAAAATGCACAATTGACCTAAACATAAAAAAAGTCATTTGTTGACTGAATTTAATATTTGACATTACCCACCGTAGGCCAAAAAGTGCAATATAGATCCTGATTGTCAAACATGATACCATAAACAAGAATACAAGTAAACAACAATTTGAATAAAATATTTTTAGATTCATTTCACTTTAGTACACATACCATATATACATTTCTGCAGGACTAGAGATGTATAAATTAACAGAAAATCATGAATATTATTCATATCTGAGCCAAAATCATGTTTAAACAGGACAAAAAATTACAATACAATTATAAGAATCTATGTTCAAGGGTATCAAGACAAAACTAGGGACCATTACTCGTGCATCATAAAACTTGAGTTGTCAAGCATGAAATCCTGCTGCAACTCCGAGGGCAACCATTTTTGTAAGGAAAAAAGTATTACGTCTATCCCAGCACAGCATCCTCAGTCCCCACATTAAAAACCCAGCACAAGGCAATATTTATGCAACGTAACATGCTGGTTTTAGATAGGATAGTCAAAAGAATACCTTCTCACGATATACTGATACCAGTTCTGGAGGCACATAAAGCTTTCCTTCATCACCCATCACCGGATCACAAACTTACAAAATAGATCCAATCATAATGAGAATAGAGATAAAAAGGCACATGCATATCAAGACAAAGTAGCCCACTAATTTATATACTTCAGAGAGAGCTAGGACTATGCAATAAATTTTAAGGAGGATTTTTATCATTAATCAAATACATGACAAGCATTTCCAGCTAAAGGTCAGCATGTTGTTTTATCAACAAATCAGTGCTACACATGGTCATTTTCTATGATTTGAATTAACAAATATTCAGCAAGCATATTTTGAGCTGTGGTGGCCAGATGTCATAATTAAGATCATCCTTAAGACCTACAAATGTAATTCAACATCAATCACCACAAGGAGCACAAGAGTAATTTTTAAGGTATCCAACAATCCACTCACCATAAGTCAGGTTGGGGTTGATAGACCGAAGCTTACTGACAACTTCTAATACGGTGTTCAAGAAGGAGACAGAACCTATATAACCTACAAAAAGGCCAGTCAGACTTAGCATGACATATAATGGACAAGAAAGTTCCAAGAAAAGAAATCAGAATAGACCACGGCACAAAAAGTCAGAACACGAGGAATAAATGCATCAGATTGATTCTTCAGTAAAAAAGATACCCCCAAGTTTTTAAACAAATAAAATGGTGAATGAAAAGATACTCTAAATACAAACAAGCTCAGTTCCCTCCAAGCAGATGGAACAAACTCACTACATAAACACACACAGAGGCACAACAAATATAGATGTGTAACTTGCGTTTGCTACTTTTCAGGAAATTATGAGACTTCAACATTTATGTGTCTTGCTATTATTAACTCTGACGGTATGGGTTTCAACTCTCACACTCCCAATACAGAAAAAGAAGATCAGAAGATTTGGCAAGAAGGCTAAAGGAACTGCTGCAGTCTACCTGTCAATAAATGAGTGTAGAACAACAAATCATTCGCTTCAAGACCTTCCACTAACTCCCATAGTTGTTGTCCATTCAAAATCTGCCCCTTAAAAGTTGGGTATCCTGCACAATCCTCAGTTCAGTTAAACATAAACAGACCACCATATTGTCCAGGATTTCATGCCTGAACTCATACATGTTAACAGATAACTTCACACTACACATCAGGCAGACTATTCCAGGAAATTAGCAGCTTACCTGTGTGGTTTGAGAACTGTACTGAATTGATCGGGTCCACATCATAGCCAAGTAGTTGGAGAGGAAAGACAGCTGATTTGTTTCCCACATATCCCTATGTAGAAACAGACAGTGAAAATGACATCAACATAAAAATAGTATGCAAACAGCCTATTTTAGAGTCAAACTCCATTATCAACAACATTTGTCGGTGCTGCATATGGACTTCATTAAAATGAGGTTTTCCATTTAAAGGTATAGAGTCAAACTCCATCTATGATAACAAAAAATAAATGTTCAGAAATTACAAGGTTGATAATTAGATATAGACCTAGAAAACAAAAAATACGGGAAATTATGACAGAAACCAACAAAGTCTCCACTTTTTTGAAAAATAATTGCACAGAAAGAAAGCACGTTATAAATATTGAGAATATTCCATTATTTTATTCACCTGTGGTATCCAGTCATTCAAATAAGGCAAGTATCCATTCATTCATTTCCCTAGAAAATGACACTATAAAAAGATTACTGATAGATGCCAGCACAAAAAATCTGTATGTTCAAGGTTTCCGATGTATAACAAAACATTATGATTTTGTTACACAATCCGTTGAAATTATCCTCCATTGAAAACGGCTACCTCTTTTCCCATATAGTTTGCTCAGGAAAAGTTCCTTAACACTGCCTTGTGGCAATATTTTTTTACCGACAGGACAAATCACACAAAAATAGTTGGGATTAAGACACTGTTAAGTTGAGTTGAGCTGAATTGAGATTTCACCAAATATAGCAACAGGGCTATTTGATGTCTATGGAGTAATATTCAGTTAATACTGTGCTCGTGACGTTAAAGAGCGAGTGAGTGCCAACATTCAAAAAAATCATAAACACGAAAAATGTAACAATCATAAAGTACAACATAAAAAGGTAACATAAAAGTCAAATAAGAGAAAGAAGTAACACCTGGACAGTGTGGGACTGAATGCTGAGAACTCGACCTGTTTCAGATGGAAGAGCTAAGGAGAGGATCGGAGGAGTCGCCATTAACGTCTTCTTCCAGCTTCTCAACCTACACCGTCCATTCAAAAAAACCTCATAATCTTACATATACGAAATTACATGATGTTTGTGCGTGTTTGATCAATTTTGGCAGAAAAATTCACCTGAAAATGGAAAAGACTCGGTCTATTATCAATTTCAGGCCGACCACTGCAGATCACAATTGTGTTGACTAATAAACGCTATGGCCAAAGTTTACAGTTTCAAATTTGCTGAAATGCCAAATATGTTGTATAAGCAATGGCGAGAGTACTGCATTGACTTCTTCGATGTGAGTGAGTACGAAGAATCGAATGAGTGAGGGCAATCCGGTGATTTCACGTGCATAGTTGGTGTCAAACACTCAATCTGGTCACTTCATTGTTGCCTCACTCTCTCTCTCTCTCTCTCTCTCTCTCTCTCTCTCTCTCTCTCTCTTCAGCGTCTGAAACTGTGCAGAGAGCGAAACTGGGGAGAAGAAATATGTTAGGGTTTCGCGGCCACCCAGTCCAAAAAAGGATTACCATTTCGCCGCCACCCGGAAAGATGATTCTTTTTAGTAGTGTGCGTTTCGAATCCTGCGTAAATATGTGGATCAATGCTAGCACGCCACGTAAATATGTGGACCAATGCTAGCACGCCACGTGGTTACCGCCCACTCCGTTTTTCTGCCCATTCACAGATCTTTGGGGAAAAAAGTCAAATGACATTTTGTACCTAAAGTTTTTGGGTAAATTTTATCCACAACCCCAATAAATAGGGTTAACTTCAATGACACCCTTCTCAATTCTAAAATTTTACTATTCTTCCTCGTAATTTATACATTCACTTCAAGTACACCCTTTCCATGACGAAGATAGCTAAGAAAGAGCTAATGGCATCTTAATTTTCTTCAAAAATGTCAATTTTATTCTCTTCTTTTTCAATACCACTTCATCATATATCTGTCTTCATTTACACACACCATTACACCACCATACCATTGTACACACCATGGTCTTTTCCCCCACCAAATTTGTAACATATATCTTTCAAAACTACCACAAACTCATCAAATCAAAATAAACATCACTGGATTTATATCACAAAAATTTATTGATTTAAAATGATAGATATTCAATTTAAAATTTAATTTTTTGAAATTAACACCAAAATTACATTTAGTTATGTTTTATTAAATTTTAGGTTCATCAATTTAATATTTAATTTTATTATATTAATGTCTTTTTTTTTAATTTAACATTAAATTAACATTTGATCTCATCAAATCAACACAAAATTAATATTCAATTTTATCAAATCAACATTCAGTTATATTAATTTAATATTTTATTTCATCATTTAATATTTATTTTAACACTAAATTACTATTTAATTTTATCAAATCAACACCAAATTAACATTCAATTTTATTAAATAAAAATTCAATTATATTAAGTAGAATGTTAAATTTCATTAATTTCACAATTAATCTTATCAAATTAATGTCATTTCTTTAATTTAACGTCAAATTAATATTTTTTGTTATGAATTAACATTCAATTTTATCAAAAGTAAAATCAAAATTTATTCAATTAACATTAATTGTTATTAAATTTAGATCAAATTTATTCAATTAATATTAAATTTTATCAAATAATATTTAAATTTAATGTGTCAAGCATGATATATGAATAGTGATCGAGTGACGCTGTGGAGACCGATGATAACAGAAAGGTTGGGAAATCATGGGAATAAATGGGATTGCGTGGCTAAAGATATGTGGTAAGGGAAGGTACTTAATTTATCAAACAACTAGTCATCCCGAAGGCACGATGACACATAAAATTCGAACATCAAAAAAATCGATCTTACTATATTAAATAATATATTTTTTTTCATTTATTTGATTACATCATTTAAAATTTGTTTTTACCCATTATTTTTTAAAAAATATCGACAAAAATATATAATCTGATAAATTTTTTTAACATGTGTATATTATCATGTATGAATAATGTCTGAAATAAAAATTATGTTAAACTACAAATTAATTAAATATTAAATTATTAAACATGTGATAGAAATGAGTAATGAGATAGTTTGGGAGAAAAATAAGTAGGGTATAAAATTTCAAACACTTAGCTATTTTATTATATAAATATAAAACTTTAGAGTAAAATGATAAATTGATTATTTTCATCACGTATTTGTTACTCAACAAACACATATCAGTAAAATTTCAAAATTGGGAGGAAATATCATTAAAATTACACTTATCTCCAGAATTGTGTGCATGAATTTTACCCAAAAATTTTAAAATTTTATTTAAAAAAGACTATCTATAATTAAATAAAAGATAAAAGTGTGATATGTTATAATAAAATTAAGTGTAAAGTTTCCATGTCCAAATCAATATAAATAATTGTGTACATAAATAAATTAATATAAAAATACAGCAAGAAAACTTGTCAACAATTGTATAACTTAGTGTAAACTATAAAATTCGAGTTTATTGGGATGAAATTAAATTACATTAAAAAATAACAGGTGTCACAAATTTTAGTTCGATAAATAAAAGTAAGTAATAAAATTAAGGTGAATGGCACATTGAGTTTTGAAAGATTTTTTAATTTTGAAATTATATCCTAAAAAATAAAAAAAATTATATTAAATAATGAATCAAATAAATAAATAATAATGTGGTCTAAAACCCCACGTTTGTCGATTTATTTGATAATTTTTTACTGTATTTTTTATATTATTATTTCTATACACACTTATTTGGATATTACTTTATTTTAAGTATTATAAATTAGTGCACATTTTTGATAAAAATATACCACATTACTATTTTTTTTTTAAATAAATCGATGGTGCAACATACAATATTTAATCTTTCAACAATAAATCAAGTTTGACCAAAAAAAAAAAACAATAAATCAAGATTTTAAAATTTTGCGAGGTATAAAGGGTCATTCGCCCTTATAATCAACAAAAATACATGACCAACCCCTGCAAATTTCAATATTGCGATCGCCACCACCAATCAATCTATTGGAACCCCATTCCTCCCCGAAAATCTACTAGGGTTGCTGAGTTCGGACACTTTCAGTACCCCTCCGAAATCCTCTCTACCAAATCCCCTGATCGAGGAAACCCCAAAAATCTCCGACCGTTCTCCGAATATGAAGCGAAAGAAATGGTCGGAGCTCGAAGAACAAACCTTACTGATTAAATACTCAGACCTCCTCAAGTCAGGAGCCCTAGCAAAACTGAAGACCAGAGAGAAGAAATTCAAGCCCATTGCAGACTACGTTAACTCAGTGCACCACCTCCAAGACCCAATCAACTTTACCTTCAAGTGGTCGTGGCGCGACGTGTCCATCAAAGTCCAGAACATGCGTCACCAGTACTTGGGTGTGAAGCAGAAAATAAGGGTTTCGAACGGGGAGTTCAATTGGAAAGATGGGGAAAATCACTGGGAAAATTTCTTGAAGTATAAGGAAGTGTTTGGGGATGTTGAATTGGAAGTGAAGGATGATAGCAAGAAGTTTGGTGATGAGGGGGTGAATTTTTTTGGTGATTCAAGTAATGGGGATGATGTTTTGGGGCTAGGGTTTGGGATTGATAGTGATGATTTGGAGGAGGATGGTGAATTAGGTGGTGATGAACTGGGGGTGAGTGATGATGAATTGGGGTTTGAAAGGGATGAAACAGAGGATATTGAGGATTCGGGTTCCATTCGGACCAAAAGATTGAAGAAGGGTTTTGGACATTTTGGTGGGAAGAGGTTTGGGTTAGTGGGTGCTCAAGTGTTAGAGTTGAGGGATTTGGTCTTGAGAAGGGAAGAGAGGAGGAGAGAGACAGAGTGGAATAGAGAAGAGGCTTTTGCGGAGAGAGAAAAGAGGAAGAGAGATAGGGAATTGAGGAAGGAGAAGCGGCTGAATGATAGGGCCGAAGAAGTGGAGAAAAGGGAACTAGAATTGGAAGAGAGACAGATGATTTGGGCGAGGAGGGACTTTGAGAGACGGTTGAGATTGGACAGGGAATTTGAAGAGGAGAGAAGGCGGAGGATGAAGTTAGAAGAGAAGTGGGAGGAGGAGGAGAAGGAATGGAGGGAGAGGATGGTGGGTTTGCAAATTGAGCATGAGAAGCAGATGATGCAAATGCATGCTGATGCTTGCCAGAATCAAATGCAGATTCTTGGAATCGTGGCTCGGCTTGTGTGCCAATTTTTTGGGTCCACGAGTGATGGCTTGGGTGGCGGATTGGGGGCTCTGCCCCCTCATGTTTTGCAGAATTTGCAGCATCCTGCGGGATTGGGTGACAATGGGAAGCCGAATGCTAATTCGCCTTCAGAATTTTTGTAGCCTGTAATACGTACCCTTCTAAATACGTATCCATCTTGTTGAAGCTCGAATGAGATGTTACATTAGTCGATAGATATTGTATGGAATACTCCATGCAATAAGGCAGTTGAAAGTAATGGATTCTTTTTTGATCACATGAAAATCATTGGTCCAGAAACTTATAATTACTACCTATCTTTCATTTCGAAGAGGAACGTTCTTAATATGTGAGAATGTATCGAATAACAGCCAAATCCCCACACTTTTCTTTCTTTAACCTATACCAAATCTTCATGGATAAGCATAGTCAGTGCAATGAATTATGAATGCATTAGCAGGGGAAACCTCAACTTGTTATAATTTTTGACTTACTAAGCTCTCTTTTCCTCCCTCATTTCTAGCATATAACTGTGGTTGCTGTTTTCATACTGCATTGCAAGATAGTTGTAAAGCCCGGAATCTGATCTGTCTAGCAAGGTTGATGCCAAGGGTTATTGTAACACCACAGATAGGACTCTGCTTCACATTGTTGTAGGGAAGATGAGGGAGATTCTTTGGAATTGGAAAGGCACTCCTCAAATAAAACCAGTATGATACTACTCCTCAATTCAGTTTTCATAACACTGGGCATTCATTCCCACGTAAGGATTTTGTGACAATTCCTTGCTGATCAGCTTCATTAAATCCTGACAAATTGAATCCTTCAAGAAGTGAGATTTCGACTCAATTAGGTGTGGTATGGATGTACAGAAGGCAATAGCAGGGTTTAAACAGGTTTAATGCATGTTGAGATATACAGAAATGTATTTGATGCGCAATGCATCTTATGTTGTTTCTCTTGCTCATTATTGTCTATTCCTTGACTTGAGAGTTGGGATTCATATTTTGGTTAGTAAACTGCCTTAGTATGTCTTTTGCTGTTGAGAGGATCTTCCTGTTATTTAGCAAAACTTACTATGAACGCTCATATTATGATATAGAAATCTGACTTTGTGGCATGTCTATGCCCAGTTACCTGTGCAGTGAGCGAAAAATCAATGTGAAGGTATGCACTTTGATCAATGCTAATATAGGAAGAGCTATATTTCAGATTGTTGAATGATGAATCTCTTTCGGTTGTAGCGTGAGTAATATATTCACATAGAGGGATCAAAAATCCACCATTCATCCACGCTTCATATATGTTGATTGAATTAGGCAAAATGTAGAGCAGCTGGCAGGCTTTGGTGTGGGGGAAAGAAAAGGGCGGGGGGGTCTGTCTCTCACTCAGGGGCGGCCCAAAAACAAGCGAGGCCTAGGCAAAATTTTCATATGAGATCCTATTAACATTTTGTCTATTGCTATATTTTATTTTTAATTATTATAATTTTTTTAAGTTTTAAAATTTATTTTTTATTTTTTAAAAATTTTAAAATATTGATCAAGTTTTGCCAATAATTTTTTTTAATAGATAATATTGTTAATTCATCCACTCTTAGTTGATTATAAATAAAATTTTATCAATTTAAGTTTTCAACAAGTAATTTAACAATAGAATATGTGAGCAAAGAATAATTTTAAGATAATAAAGAATCATTCTTTACCCATGAGCAATGTGCACACATTTAAATATAAATTATTTAGGCTGAAAATTTATATTAAGACAAAAAAGGAACCAATTTTATAGATTTTTACCACAAGAAATAATGAATATAAATTTTCTATGTGAGTGAGTAAAATACAACTATAAATACACCCAAAATATTTTAAAAAATTTAAATCAAAGCTCATGTGAATGAGTAATTTTAGACTCAAAAAAAGTTAGATATTGATTTGAACTATTAAAATTTGAGCCTTAAAAATTTGAATTATATCTAAAATACAAAAAAAAAAAAAAACTATTATACTAAAGTGGTAAATTTTATGAAGGTCTCTAAAATTTGGGCTTAATTAAGTAGAGAGTAATTTTGAACCTAATAAAATTAGATACTGATTTGAACTAATAAAATTTGGACCTTAAAAATTTTAATCATATTTAAAATATAAAATAAAACATAAAAACTTAAGCTTACTATACTAAAGTGATAAATATTATAGGGCCTCTCTAAAATTTAGGATCCTAAACAAATAACTTAATTGCCTGAGGGTTGGGCCGACCCTGCCCTCACCGGAGAACCTGCCTTTAAGTTAAGGGGAAGCTGCATGGCCTTAAAGATATCCTTAATGAGAGTGCTTGTTTCTCTTTCACCACAGTAATATCCAATGTTCCGGTAAATGTGTTCTTATTCTATAGTCAGTATTGTGGCGAAACTAGAGCTCAAGATTACAGCAAAATAGTCTCACATCGACTAGTCAAATTCGTTTTCGATATTGTAGTTTTGTAACTGTTCTAGTCCTGTAGCAAAAATTGATATCACAAAGAAAAAAAAAAAGAAAAAAGAACTTCTATAAGCTTTGGTGAGTTCCTTAGACTTTGGTTGCATGATTTGTAGAAGTTTACAAGTATCAAATTTTCTGCAGTATCAGGTCTGGCTAGATCCAAGCTCGCAAGTCAATCTTGTATATTTTCCAAAGACGGAAAAGTGGAGGAAACAAATGATTCTTCAGTGAATACAGAGCATAATAACATATCTTATCGTTCCTGGAAGGAAAGCAGGTAATGGATACAAATATTTTTAGAAAAATGCTACGTAATCCAAATGAAACCTAAAAATTAAAACTCAAATAAATACCATCTCTTTGATGTGTGTGAGATGAGTGAGTTTCACTAAAAAAATTGATGGGATTCACTCATCCAAGCGATGATATGTATTTGAGTTACAACCTTTTAGATTTCCTTTGAGTTTTGTAGTATTCCTCATGCTTTTAATAGATGAATTTACAGTAAAATCAATAGTTGAGATTATCAAATCTAATTTTCAAGTCCACGTGACATTGCTCTTAATCCATTATGCACATGAATTAAGAAGAAACCATCGACTTTACACCCTTTTGGTCTATCTTGCCTGAGATCGTTGATGTTATTGGTGCTTGGCCCAACCCCTGGTGGGTTGTATGTGTGGAAGAGGACTGAGATTTGGATAAAAATGATAACATAAAGGAGAGGATAATTATTATTTCTCCTCAATTTAATTGTGCCGGGGATATGGAAGGGAAATTCAAGTTACGAGAGGAAAAATCTGAGTCCTTTGTGAGGTACTTGTACAATGTGCTTAAAATACTTCTCCGTAACTTCCATTTCAAAGTTCTACAAATGGCTCCATCGTTTCTTATGCAATGCAAATGGCTTTGCTTAGAAGGTGGACATTTTTGTGGGTGCAGGAGGGCTGGTTTACTTCTATTTTCTCATACCAATAGCAGTATTTGATCGTAGGAATCAAAAACTGAGATCAATTCATGAACTGAAGATTGGGTTTCCATGCCGGAGCATGAAATGTGACAATCTGGCTACAATGATACAGCTCAGGATCCTTGAATTATCTTTGCAGGTGTTATCCTTGCCATTGGAATTTGAGTGATTACTTTACCCTAATCAAACCCCTCATGTTGAAACATTTGGTTTTGATCAGATTTTGCCATTTTGTACTCAAAGTTCCTCTACGCGACCACTGCAAGATTCTATTCGATGGGTTCACTGTCAAAAACAAGAAGATAATCTGAAATTATTTACTATAGAAAAGCAGCGTGAGAATGCTGTGTAGGCTTTTTTTGCACGCGTTGATCTACTTCATGTTGATGGACTGAAATTTCTCAAGCATGTAAAAAATACGAATATATAAAGAAAGAAATTCAGCATGCGAAAAAGCAGGTTCCTGGCTTTGAAGAAAGCTGGAAAAGTGTGCCCTTTAAATTTTTTTGCTGGGGTATGTGATTCCCGCATCTATGTTATGTTTTATAAAGAACATTTTATGAACAAGATTTGTTGCTTAGCCCTGCTCTTAGGATTCATTTATTCATTGATTGTGAACTGTAAAGTTGCACTGCTGAAATGTAGAATAAGACTGACGGTTAGGAGTTTTCGTTGGAGGCTTGTAATTAAGTCATGGTAGACAACTAATGGTTATGTTTGCTATAGAAAGTAATTGAATATGTCCTACATCTTAGCTGAACACACACACACACACACACACCTATATGGATGGAATGTCTAGATGCCTTTATTCTGCGGTGTCTGTATAAAGTCACAGAACTGCCTGTGTTGGTTGCTAATATATTAATGCACCTAATAATTGAAAGCAAAAGAGGAAGAATAATGCCAGTCTCTTAGGAATACAGAAGAAACCGATTTCACCATGTTTATGTAATTTCATGCATGTTATTGCAGGCTCATCAAGTTAAAATACTCAGCTATCGTGTTTTGCGGTAATTATATGCATCCTCAAAAGTACATGGCTGGGATGGTTCTCGGTTATAAAAATAAAATCCTTAGGTAGGTTGGGAATTAGTGATATGGGTAGATATTGTTTTAGAACTGACAGGAATTGGTGATTCGTCCACTTGATCAATGGAACTTATTCTAGTTATTGGTGGGTATAATTACTCTCTAGGGGACTCTTCAGAAGAGAGAAGAGAAACCACTAACCGTTGAGAGGGTCCTACACAATTACAACAGCCACATGCTATTCGCTTTCATGGCTACCTTATATAACCATAGATGGAGGCTCTTAATTGAAAATACTAAGTATCTGTCCTGAAAGTAGCAAAAATTACCTCCCAAGCCACCTTTAGCCTTTGTTAAACTGGTCGTGCATGACCCCCCAACTTAACATCTCTCTCTCTCTCTCACTTTGTTTTTTGTCCGTAAACAGGAGTACAATTAGTTCAGACTGTTCGGTGAATCCAACAGGCAAATGTTTGTCAATGAATCAAAGGGGTCTTCAAATGCTTCTTACCATGCTCATCCTCTTCCTGGGAGTTTTGGTTCCAGGGAATGCAACTGTTTCTGAGAAGCTTGATGAACCTTTGGTGCCACAGTTGGCCGATCCAGATATAAAGTGCGGTGCATGCCCGTGCGTGAACCCTTGCAGCCAACAGCTTCCTCCACCACCACCACCACCACCTCCATCACCACCACCGCCGCCGCCGCCGCCGCCCCCGCCATCTCCATCCACGCAGTACTGCACTCCACGAACGCCACCACCACCGCCACGGTTCATTTACGTGACAGGCCCTCCAGGGGGCTTGTATCCGACCGACCCATTTAATTTGGCGGTCTATGCTGGTGCTGGACGAGAAGTTGTTATGGGGCTGCTGCCCTTGATTGGATGTATGTTATTAGAACTCTTCATGTTTTCGTATGTATAATCAGTAATGGACGCCATTTAAAGTAGCATTGGTTGTGTAAGAAAACATGGTGTTATTTGTAAGTTTGGGAGGCTTGTGTGTTTAATGATGTTCTAGGTCTCTTGTAATGAATTCCCTTCAATAACTTTCTTTTACATAATCCTTACAAAGCTTTGAACAAAGTTATAAAACAAGATTTTTTTTTTTTTTTTTTGGGGGGGAGAAATAAGTTCATCTGACGAATTTAAATAAACTCATTCAACGGCCACTAACATCTTTTCTTAAAATTATTCACATTGAATTTTATCTTTCTCTCCTCATGATTCACTCTCTCTCTCGAATGTTCACTCATCACTTATTTAAATTAATCGATTATTTTACGTTGAAAATGACACGGGTTACCCCTAGTTTCAAAATAATTGAATAATTCTTTAATCAGTAATATTATGCTTATCAAGTTTTTCATCTCAAGTGATATGACACAATTTTCATCATTAAAAATTAATAGGACCCACTTATTTAATAATAAAAATTATGCCACATTATTTGGAATAAAAAAATTTGGTAAAAAATCTTAGTCAGCATAGCATTATTGTTCTTTAATTTATTTTGTTTGATGAAAATCTATCCACATCAATAAATTTGGTCTATCTTAAATTTTTGAAAATTTAAACTCTACATTTGAATTTAAAATTTGTTTACGTGGATATATTCTCACCATGAAAAATAAATTAAAAGATCTTCCAATTACTTTATAATTGGAGATCTTGCCCTGGGTTCGACCACAGGGGAGGGAGGGAGGGAGAGAAAGAAAGAGAATCTTATTATTTTGATTATAAAGAGTTATTCTCTCTTTAGCAATTTAGGTTTTGAGTAATTGATGGTTTAACAAAAAGACATGAAACTAGGATTAGTTATGGACCCGACTTTTCTGCTGTTAATTTTTAGTAATCGAAATCCTGTCGATCAAAATAGCATCGTTTTAATACAAAAGAATGTTGTTTTAATTAACAACACCTCTAATCTAATGTTAATTTTCTCACAGCAGAGAATCCTCACCATCATTAGCTATAATCTAGTATTGGGGAAGCACCGAGATTTATGACCTATTGCTGCCACTGGACCAAAGCTGGTATGTAAGCCCATCAAATTTTAGTTAATTCAAATTTGCACCCAATTTCAAAGCTTCAATCTAAAAATCCAATAAATTTTATTTTCAAAATCCACACCCTAGTCTATTAAAGGTCAAAAAAATCCAATTAGAAAATTCCATCTAGCCCAAATAATTAATAAAAGCCAAATTTTAATAATCTTAATCTTAACTCAGTTTGAACCAATAATCACTCAATTTCAATGTGCATCAAGTTGTTGGCAAATATAATTGTGATCCGATTATAATCAAATCGATCAAATGGGGTATCAAGATATCCTTATCTAAATTCATAAAAAAATATATAATAAATTTAAATAATTATTAGTCAAAGATATCAATTCATATCTGATAAACCGATCTAAATTCGAATCAAATTCTGTTTGATTGATAGACCTAATGGTATGAGGCTGATACACCATCAATTCGAGCTACCATCTTGCTCTCTGAGCTACTATTACTATTTCATAAAACGGGGCCCTTCATATTGAGTTGTTACTACTTGTAACATGTCTGACAGGTTGATATTGAACTCTGCATTTATGTCTCCAACCCTATAGTTGCACATCTTAGATGTCAGTCACTGAGTAGCAGACAAAACATAAATGAAACTACCAAATCAATAATACTATACATTCATGCGCGAACAATGCTATTGGGACATAATTAAAAGACATAACTTGAAAATTTAATGGTTGTGATTATTAGGTTGTCAGTGAGTCCTAACATTAAAATATTACTNCGCGAACAATGCTATTGGGACATAATTAAAAGACATAACTTGAGAATTTAATGGTTGTGATTATTAGGTTGTCAGTGAGTCTTAACATTAAAATATTACTGGGTCTCAACACTATCAATTTAATGGTCATGATGCATTAAATCTTCAAATTATATCTTTAAATTATGTCTTAATAGCATTAGTGATATATGCACACGGCAAATACTCATACAAAAACTTACTTATCGATATTGTACTAAAACTGAACAACTNTTGAGAATTTAATGGTTGTGATTATTAGGTTGTCAGTGAGTCCTAACATTAAAATATTACTGGGTCTCAACACTATCAATTTAATGGTCATGATGCATTAAATCTTCAAATTATATCTTTAAATTATGTCTTAATAGCATTAGTGATATATGCACACGGCAAATACTCATACAAAAACTTACTTATCGATATTGTACTAAAACTGAACAACTAGTTTAGGATCAATCTTAACTTTTTGAACCCTAATGAGTCATAATTTCAATATGATTCAACAGTAAATTGACATAATTCATAACATTTTCATTTTTTTAATAGAGTATCATATTTTGCGACAACAGCCCCAAAAAGGAAAAATCAGTCGACATGTTTCTTTGTCAAGTTCAAAAAATAAAAAAAAAGGTGACATTTAAGGATAGTTTAGTAGTTGAACTTAGTTTTTAGTAATTTAGAGATTTCAGGTTCAATCCCTTTTTACATTCACTAAGGAGTAGTCAACCTTGTTTCTTAGAAACATGCTCTATCCTCCTAACTTAAGCCATGGTGGTCGCTGCTGAACTCGAGAAAGTAATCGGCGCAAACTTAAATAGCCTGTNTCGTCAAGTTCAAAAAATAAAATAAAAAGGTGACATTTAAGGATAGTTTAGTAGTTGAGCTTAGTTTTTAGTAATTTAGAGATTTCAGGTTCAATCCCTTTTTACATTCACTGAGGGCTAGTCAACCTTGTTTCTTAGAAACATACTCCATCCTCCCAACTTAAGTCATGGTGGTCGCTGCTGAACTCGAGAAAGTAATCGGCGCAAACTTAAATAGCCTGTAAATAAAAAAAAAAAGTCCAAAAAAAGAGGTCTATGTTGCATTGAAAAGTTTGGGTCTTGGCAACCGGGAAATGGAAAATTGTGATTAGTTCTCATGAAAGTAGATGCATTCAGTTTGCATTTCATTTGGAATCTGTCTTTAACTACCAGCTCCTTAATGAATTGCATAAAATGGTCACTGTCCTGCGACGTCGTTCTCATGAAATTATGGACCATGCTATATAGTTAGTCATGGGGCAGCTTGCATGACTATGGTCCTCAATCAACTCCAATATCACCCAACACTCACATGCACAATATATGGTATGAGCTTTGCTGGTCTATCTACGATCTCTGGTCACAACACTAGTGATGATTCGAATCTCCAACCACCAAAGATTAATAATATTACAGAGACTTAATAATCTGATGTCCAGTCCCTACAATCAAAATAATCTCCACTTTGTCGTAGCCTCGGAGTTTTAAAATGCATCTTCATAATTGAGACAAGACTATCACGACATACATAGCCCAACAACCTTTTCTCTCTTGATGTCGCCTCATCTCTCCCGCTCAAAAAGTTTGTTGGACTGATGACATGTTGATCTCTTAGCTACCAAAAAAAAAATTCAACTGTTATTGTCATCATAAATTCTCCGATTATGTCAATTATCACAATATTAAATTAGAAAATTAAGTGAACTTATTAAGTCCCCGTAACATTACTTCCGTCCATATTGATATCAAATTGGGCAGGTGAACCCTCCCCTAGTCCTTCACAGTTCCAACAGGACACTCACTAAAAAAAAAAAAGCAAAGTTTTCTATTTTACACTCCATTTGATGCTTCAGCATTAAGTATTCAATTAAATGTTGCTTTCAAAGTTTCCAATAATAATTCAGTTATTCCAATCACCCATACTGACAAAAGCTTGCATCCTTCAAATAGGTCACTACCCCCACCCCACCCCACCCCACCCAAAAAAAAACTCACATACAAAACAAGCCCCAATCCCATCACTTAGTTCTTTGTTAAGATTGGTTTTCTCTGTATTCTCACCTTCTTGTGGCCATTTTTCATCCGTACCATGGCCAGAAAATTCACCCAAATAGTCTCTGTGCTCATGTTCTTCATTGAAGTATTGAACTTTCCAGCATTTACAACTTCAGACACTACACTTCCTGATCAAACACTATATGCATCGCCACCGCCACCTTATGGGTGCCCATATTGTATGCCCCCACCCTCCGCCCCAACAAATTGCCCGCCACCTCCTTCGCCACCACTGCCAACGGTTTCTCCCCCACCACCGCCTGGTTCAGTGTACTATCCTCCTCCGCCCGGGTACTATTCGCCACCATATTTTCCATATAATCCTACACCAGGATATGTCTACCCTGCTCCTCCCCCTCCTGACCCAATTTTACCTTATTTTCCATTTTATTACTTGCAACCTCCTCCACCGCCAGGATTTTCATCAGCAGATGGTATTAACCTATCAGTGAAATGGATTGCTTGCATGCTTTTGCTGGTCTTTCCTTATTTTTGGTTTTGATTATATAGATATACCGCAAATTCAAGTCACGAAAACAGTTTTTGTTGCATTCAGAACTACATGCATCCGATCCTCCGACCCATATTGCATTTTTTAACTATTGATGAAGAGGGTTAACTTTATTCTGTCCAAGTCAAAAAAGGAATCAACAATGGTGATCAAACTGAAGAGAAAAAGGTCAGGGCCACGATGTGGTGCAACATTCGTCATGTTGTTGGTAGGCAGAGTTGTTTTTGTTAATGGTTTCTTGAATATTATTCCATTTATGATTAATATATAAAGTTTTAGCCATCTACTGATCTGACCTCCCGAAGGGTATCTTTATAATCAAAATTGCTTTTGAGTGTTTTTTTGGTCCTTAAAATATCGAAGATATATCATTTTTGGTTACCCATTTATCAGTTTGTCAATTACATTCTAAATTGCAAGCAATTTTTTCCGATTTGCAGAAAAAAGTACACAAGCGGCTTTTTCCATTATTACTTTAACATTCTTCGTCCACCGGCTTATTTATATCACATTAAAAACTTTATAAACTAAAGTAACACAATTTTATATTTTTTTGGTTCAAAGGTTAGGGGTATTCAGGCCAACTTACGCGCATCTCTCCCTCCTCAATCCGATCAAAAACAGTCATCCACACTGGGCTAGAGTATTCATGAGAGATAAATTCTTTATAACCTAAAATCCAAATTTAGAACGTTTAAGTTTATAACTCGTCCTGTTAGCACTTGAACTACCTCTGCAAAAGAAAAAAAATCAAAATAAAATAAAACAAATACTTTAAC